AGTCTGCGTCGGCGCAATGCTTGAAGTTAGTAAAAAATAAAAATAAAAAACTTACAGATTTGCTAAAGAATTTACAAGAAAATTATTAAAAAATTTCACGATACTGTTGCTTAGTACTGTGCGGTAAACATAATTGTTAACCTTGTGCAAAGGTTGCCTAAGACTCATTTCAATGGGCTGTTCCGAGATGAGGCGAAAGAATGACTCATAAGTCTCCCATTATATTATAGGTCTTTGTTAGACCGCCTGCTTTTACTTGCGATGAATCTCATGTTCGAAATATTCAAAATGTATAAACGCGTATTTGTATTTAAGTAGGTCAAGATTTCTATAGAAAGGATACGTAATTTGACGACGACAATTGGTCATTAATTTCAGTAATTATATGTACAGAGAACTTTTGAGAAAGTTTACGGCAGCAGAAAGTGTTTATTTCCTAATATAAGATTATTCCGTAAACAAAATATAAAGATTTCATTTGCGACAAAGACAATACGGAACCATCGGACCGATACGGAAGGAACGGCTACTGATTATAAAAAAATATTATTATCATTAAATACATACATATATATCATTGTCTTCCATTAAGTAGAAACAATAGAGCGTCAAATGAACCTTTTATTTTACAAATATCACCTCTTCTACTTTCTCCACATTCATCAATATATTCATACAATTTCGACGGTTATGAGTAATTCTAATTTGGCCCTTCTCAACACGTCAACTACGAATATAGCCAAATAGTGGCTACATTTGTATTTACATTTACATCTGTCTAGAGCGCCACCTTCCAATATCGTCATAGTCGTAGAATACTGACAGATCTGACAAAGATTACATATATAGATCCGTCAGTATTCTACAACTATGACGATATCTCCACTCATTCATCCTTCCCAAATGACCAAAGCAACGGAACATCCCTTTCGTTTATCATCAATTCCAATCTCGGTCACGATACTAGAATAATAAACTACACCATCTCTTAAATTAAAAAATACAGTATCCATCTTTGTGTGACTTATATTTAGGGGATGTGTTCGCAAAATAATGAATTTTAAAACATTACTATAATGTTTGTAGTGCTTTAAATTTAAAACACTCACGTACATGATTTTTTAGAATCATTGATCAAAATAATACCAACTATTTAGCATGAACGTATTTCCTACAAATATAATAAAATACAATACATGACCACACACGTTTATAAGACACGTACCGACCTAACTTTGAACATCGCAATTCGTGGATTTGGTAAACTCCAAAAAATATAAAATATTGCATATAAATATTGTACTGAAACATCAGATATTTTCAGAGTCATTAATTTCGGTTTTACGAGCTGCGCATCGGTTCTGCATCACCTGGCCAGCGACATAATTATGACGAATCTAACGACTCACCTAATTTGTTTAGTCAAATTTAGTTATAAACAATTTTGTCATTTAAAAGAATATGCTAAAAAATGTATAAGAATATGCTGCTCTTATGGGAAAATGAAGATGCTCAGTAGTCGGTTATTAATTGGTTGTTATGGTGACGATATAAGAAACCAGTCAGCTTAAAATACTTCTCCTGGCTCTAGAGCCAGGAAGTATTTTAAGCTGACTGGCACATTTACTTCTACTTACAATGGAATAAAAGGTATTTGTGTGGGAGATTGTTTAGTTACCATTTTCCTTAAATAACAGACCGATTAATTTTAGCATGGTTATTTCGAGTAAAACTGAAGCTAAGAAATTGTAAAGATTTCGGAGTATTGCAGTGCATCAATCGAATAAATGTTCTTTTCTACGATCAAACGAATTCAACAAAACAATATTGTTTATTTAATCTTATTATAATGTTATTCGAAATTACCAGAATTACGTTTAAATAAAATTTTGCTGGGAAAGAAATATGTCCAAGAGAGGAGGCGTATGTAACATCTCATATAAAATCTTTTAAGGCTCTTCAAGTCTTTACGAAATAGATCCTTTCGATAACTACTTGCATAGACAACAATGTTTTTTAATGATTATGCTGTCCTTTATATGGTTTTGATTTATATCTTTAAAATGTATATAAATATAATGATACACATAAATGACATTTACTAGTACAACGGTGGTTTTACAAGGAAACTAATTCGACCTTTGAAAGTTTGATGAGATTTTGTATATATGTAATAACAAACAGCATTTTTGCATTTGGTTAATACGGCGTAAATACAACTGCGCTATTTTATTACTAGTGACGCTTCCTTATACACACTACACGCTAATACACACGGTTTTCTTGATAAAGATTGAGATCCCACAAAAAAAAGACTTCAATTGTGACCAAACCAGTTGTTTAGATTTAAAAACTACTGAACTGATTTTGATAAAATTTCTATGGGACCAATTTATAAGAACTGAGGGAATTATGAGGTAACAAATAAAAAAAATACAACCGAATTGAGAACCTTTTTCTATTTGAAGTCTGTTGAAAAAAAAAAATAGTTTGTGTCACTCATAGATAAAATAGCTCTCTATAGAAGTTGAGTATTTTTTAATTTACCTATTCATTACAAACAAAAATAAAATCTTCGTTCTTTACAATCTTAGAAGAAAAAATACACACTTTGTGTTATGGTATCTATAAGATAACCAAACATATATATTGATTGATAAATGGATACTCAAATATTGATGAAAGTGGATACCCATTCGTATATCGGACAAGTCATTTTTTGCAGTCGTGAAGTTCCAGAGTTCAACAGTAAGTCGGAATTGATTTCTGGAATCTTATTATAACTTACTTTGGAAGTCATTGCTAATTGCTGCATCTGGTTTATAACACATATGTTTTACTCGTCAACAGATAGTGTTGATCGAGTCCAAATACATTATTTATAAGATTCGTGTACACAGCGAATAATTAATATGTTAATGTGTTATCATTATCATGGGTCGTTAGAGATATCTGTCAAAAATCCTCATATACAGACTATTATTTCTATCAACAATAGTGTTTATATTATAAGTCTTACGCATTGTAATGATCAAAACAATTTTTTCTCCTCATTTGCTCGAAAAATGCTTCATTATTAAAATTTAAACAATAACACGCCAGTAATTCCTGACACGACAATAATGGAATTGCTGGACAGTTTATTTCTAACTAGTTTTACCTGCGACTTCGTCCTCGTAACGAACGAATAATTGGTAGGAATAAAAATAACCTATGTCCTTCTCCGTCCCAAATATTAAAGATATAGCAATCTTTATAGCGATAAATTGCGCCGGTAAGGCATTACTCAGGAAACATTATCGCATTTATAATATTAGTCAAAATTATTCTTAGAGTCAAACATGTTTCGAGTTTTAAAATACATAAATGATGAATTATTACAATGATCATCATCATCATGTGAACCATTATCTGTCCACTGCTGAACATATGTCTTTCTCCTATTGAAGAGCTTTGCCAATAGTTGCCAATTAATTATTACAATAATCTTTGTTAATAAATCAATTAATGAAAATTAAGTACTGTACTGTGTATGCGTACCAATTTGTATGATACAATTCTACTATCGAATAAAAATGTGTGATTTTACTAAACAAAAGTTTCATTTATCCTTCTATGACAATATAATAAAATTCTTTATATGAACTTTTTTTTATTTCTTAAAGTACTTTATTGTTTTCTCGCAAATTGTAGCAAGTACAAGTCTGACGAAGTAGCAATTAAACAGCCTTTCAGTTAGAAAGGACTCGGCTCGGCACTTTGTCCTTCCGATATAACTTTACCAATAATTACTTTATTCTTGGCCTCGAAAGTAATGTATTATTAAGTAGAAATTGAATAAAAAATATATGCACACGACTTTAATATCTAATGGCGTAGTCAGTGGCATATTTCGACTAGCCGCTTTAGTGAAGGGCAAGCATTTTAGAATCAAACGTGGCCAAGAGTAAACCTTCACTAGTACAATATTTTGATTTACAAAACATGTTATATTTTTAAGCGACTTAAAAAAAGAGAAATAATTCTCTCAATAATACTATTTGCAAACCATTCACTCGCACGTTGGTAACATTTCTTATTATGAGAGAAGTAGCGGCTATTTTTTTTTTTTGCGGAAATCTTAAATGATGCACAATTGTTTTTATACACAGCATGCTTACATTAATGGGCATTTTAATTTAAAAATATTTAATTGTACATATAAAGTCAAGCGCGGATTAGGTAAACCACTCGGTAATTATTATGAAGACATGACATAATCGGTGTACTTTCTTTCACTGCCGTTTATTAGCGATAGTATAAAATGCAAGAGAAATGGTGAGATGTTTGCACGCATGAGGGACTTCGACGCCCCTCGCAATCTACCGTAGGTCTAGAATGCATGTAAAACATCACCTTTTTCTACACTCACCTATCGCATTTAGGCCAAATATTACGTGCAAGTATTAAATTCTTTATGAAGAAAAGACTAAGGTTAATTATCACGCTATATATTTGGTATGATGAACAGTCTGACGGAAATCAAGTTATAATATTGGATTATTAATGCTTGTTTTTCTAATCCTATTTGAACCAACAGTCACTTAGGACTTTTATAGTCAACTTCAAAAAGAAGCGAGGTTCTCAATTCGGTTGGTTTTTTTATATATTTATTATCTCATAACTTTGCCAGTTCTAAAACGATTTCGAAAATTCATTTTTTATCTGAAAGGATATAACTAACAGATCTCAAAGAAATTTTATCAAAATCAGTTCAGTAGTTTTGTTTATTAAATAAAAATGACTGGTTATGTCACAATTGAAATCGGTGTTTTTGTGGGACACACTCTTTAATTATTAAGAAATAATGTATAAAAAAAAAATAAGAGTAATATAGGTTTGTAAATTGTAAAAAAAAAAAAAGAAATTCAAGCTACACTTTGAGAATCAATGTTCTAGATCTAGTTTCGGCTGTGCATCGATTAGTTTCCTCATTTTTATAAATAGAATGACAAACTTACCAAGCCTAAGTTCACCGAAGTTGCCACAACCGATCTTCTTGCCGACTCGAAAATTGGGCCCGACCATAAGGACGCCCGAAGACGAGGTGACAGAGTGCCTTGATGTGTGCATCGCGCTGCTGCCACCAACGCCGCGCCCACCCACCGCACCGGTAGCGCTGGAACAATAACACTTACCGTATTATTTGTTACTTTATTAACCTAGTAAATACGTACATATAAACATATTTTGATTTTCAGTGACATTATGTATAAAAATTTAAAAATGTATTATTAGTAAATAACATCAGGGGTACCGTGGATAATAAAGTATATTTCTGTGATGTCCATAGGCTGCACAAGTTCATAGGCGACAATTATCACTATTCATCATGCAGGCTGTCAACTAGTTGGTCATTCCACGTTACAAACAAATAATATAAGTTTAAATTTAATCGGTACTTCTCTTTCTTTCAACTTTGATACTTATATCGTCATAGTCGTAGAATACTGACGGATCTTTATATGTAATCATTGTCAGATCCGTCAGTATTCTACGACTATGACGATATATTAATGCTTTGGATTTATTATTATATTTCATACGAATCTCCATGGTATTTCATTAATAATAACTCTATATTTAAAATACTGTTATTGGCACTGAAGGTTGTTGTTGTATAATACTATTGTTGTAAAACTAAGATGTATCTTGTATTAATGTTTATAAATGTTATGTTATAATAAAAAAATAATAATAAGTATAAGATATTTATCAATTTTTTGTCCACAGAAATCAATACTAGAATTAGAGAATATTGTGACCCACTTAATGATACGTTAATATCGAACATGTATGCACCTTCGTTCTTTGTTTTAGAAATTGAAAGTCTACCCAAGCCGGCTTTTCCGTTTAAACAATAGGAAGAAAAAAGTACCTAGGTATCACAGCTTTTTGTTATACGACCAAACAATACGAAAGTTAAATTGGTTTTACTAAGGCAGGTGGGTTCACATTTGACTACATAGTCACACTTTACATTATATTTTTTTACAATTAATGATGTTAATTAATGATGAACAATAACTTTGAAGTTGCGATAAAAAAAAAAGCTTATTAGTTGGTAGTTTATTCCTTAAGCGACTCGCGATGAAAAGAGGTTCTCAGTTTGGAATATTTTTCTTTTTTTACGTGATGTCTTCAACATACCTACTAGTTATATCGTCACATGCTTTTTTGCGAAACAAAATCTTAAACTACCTATTTGATTTCATAAAATGAATATGTACACGGAATATTAGTATGTTAGGTCATACCACTGGTAAGAAAACCTTTTCGATATTAAAGCCAACAAGATTTATAAGAGTTTCTTTTAACATACAGAAAGCCAAAAATAATTTTGATATTTCGACATACATTATAATAAAAATACAATTGGACGATAGCTGTACGATGTGACAAAGGGCTTAGAGTAACACACGGCGAAACAATGTATTTAGAATATTTGTCTATCTGTATGTGTGTTCCGGCATTACTCAAAAATTAGAAGCGGTTATCACAGTTGTTTTTCGGAAGGTCGAATGTATGCTTATAAGTTATTAGTTACCGAATCAAATAATCAGTATATGTATAACGTACAGTAGAATCTCGATTATCCGAATATTTAATTATCCGGACTTATTCATTTTACATTATCGATTCAAAAATAGTATTATGTATTAATTGGGTAAATAGGTATTATATAATCCATTATCTTTAGAGCTCGTGCTTTTTTAAATCATATTGTCTAAATGATGTATGTTAAACCCTTTACATAATAAAAATAATAATAATTTTTAATTATTGTTTGATTTGACTTTAAAATCGATTATCCGGATATTTGGATAAACGGAATACTCCTGCTTTTGATTGATTCGAATAATTGAATATATTATATTTACTTAATGTCACCTAAAATATGTTGACGACGGGACACGAAAAACAATAAGCATTTAAACTAAATATGTAATAAACATGGATTTTTTTTTAAGATTAAGAGTAAGTAGATAAATATTCCTTTATCGGAGGTAAGTATTAGGAGTACAAATAAGTTTCCGCCGTTTTTTAACACAAATTAAATATTTATTATAGAAGAACGGTAATATAGATTTATATAAAATATTGCCCATCACTTGCAACCACTTTTTAAATATATTTAAAAAATTGGGTATTTTCATCTCTCAGGCAGCATTCGTGAATTCCACGTCTGAAGAACTCCTTGTCTTTTGAGGCTATCCACGAATCAACCCAATTTTTGGTATCCTCATAAGATGTAAACCGCTGCGTCGTCAGAGCATGTGCCATGGACCGAAACAGGTGATAATCGGACGGTGCAATGTCTGGTGAATACGGCGGGTGAATACTGACGGATCTGACACATTCCCAATCAAGTGTATATCCAAGTACTTTTTTTATATTTAATCTACGGGAGCCGCAACATGTGGACGAGCATATATAGTCATGCAGAAGAATAATTTTTTCGTGTCTAGAATAGTTGAGGGCGTTTTTCTTTCAGAGCTCGGCTCAATCTCATCAATTGTGTTCGATAGAACCGCTCCAGATAATTGTTTCGCTCGGATTAAGCAACTCATAACAATACAAACTACATTTCATATATGCTGATCCCACCAAATACACAGCATAAGTTTTTTTCCGTGAATATTCGGTTTTGCTGTTGATGTTGACACACAACATGTGGCAAAAGGTAATCCCCATGATTTTTTGTGTTTTTGGATTGTCATAATGTATCCACATTCTCATCACCAGTTACGATACGATGTAAAAAACCCTTTTTTTATGTCTAGCTAGCAGCATTTCAAACTTAAGCATAATCGGCGTTCAATATCTCTCGGCTTTAATGTCGTACGGAACCCAATTAAATCCTTGTTTATGAATCATTCCTAATGATTTTAAACGATGTGAGACTGCTTTATGAGTTCGACTAATCTAATGTTAAAGCAAGTTCTTTTTGTGTTTGAGATGAATCCTCCTCCAGTTATTGAAATATCTACCCTTCGGTAATTCTATGACGTTATTAGAGAAAGAATAGAAAAAAAAAAAGAAAAAAAAGGGACCAATTCTGCATCCTCGTAAATTTTTGGCCTTCCACTGCGATCTTTGTCTTCTACGTCGAAATCACCGTTTTTAAACTTTTAGAAACCACTCTCGACACGTTCTCTCACTCAAAGCACCCTCACCATATGCTTCTACGAGCAATTGAAATGCGTATTTGGTCCCATTAGCAGCAATGATTTCTTTAAATTAAAGAAGTAAATTAATATTTCCCGCAAATGACGCTTATTTGGCTCAAATTTTGACATTTTCAAGTTATAAAAATTATATTTTACCAATATCAAATCAATAATATTAATAGGTTATGTTGGTCTTGAATGTCGAAACTATTTTTTAAGCCGTTTTGTGTGTGTTGTGGGGCCGTTCCTTGTGTCATCATCTGCGAAATGCTGAATGAAATATTTGATTTAACTCCGTGCCGCGCCATCCACAATAAAACGGCGGAAACTTATTTGTACTCCTAATATAAAAATAAATCAAAGGAAACATTTATGTTAATGGTGGAATTACCTTTTTGTGTTAGCTGTTTATGTACTATGTATTTATTAAATATTATTTTATGTCACTTATTTCTCAATGACCAGTTATATACCTGCCGAAAATGTAACTAAACATGTCAAGTATAAAAAAAAAAATAGACTGTGGGGTTTAGTTAGCATCAAAAAATGACACGAGGTCTCAAATTATTAATGGAAAAGATACAAAATAATAACAAAACTTTTAAATGCAACTGATTATTCAAGATAAATATATTTAGAAAAATTGGGTATTTTCACCAGATTCTAATCAAATGTCATTGTCCATGTGACCTTGTGAATACGAAATATAGTTTACTCCGTCGTCACAAATTCCACACGAAACTTGTTATCGACCTTTCCCGAGAGAATTTTGGAATATCTATTCTTAATAATGCCTATGTCACACAACCCTTACAATTTCTTACAAGTTTACAAATCCCAAAGCGTATGGAGAATGTCAGTTTTTTTTATGGGTGATACTGAAAATGCAACTCCGTCTGCGTTATAGAACGCTAGCGGGGCACAAGTGTATTACAGATGAAGACGAAAGCAGGTTAGTAGGGCCATCTTAAAAAAATCTATAAAAGTAAATCACGATGGTTTCTAAGGGAAATAGCGTGAAGGCAAACCTAATAGTGTATATTGCAATGTTTGTGTAATATCGTCATAGTCGTAGAATACTGACGGATCTGACGAAGATTACATATAAAGATCCGTCAGTATTCTACGACTATGACGATATATCCTCGTCTAGGTTTTAGGATTTTTTTGCTTAATCTAAATCCACTATCAAATGGATAAATGCCTATAAAGTTTAGTTTTAATCATACCTATCTACTTAGATCTAATATTTTATGGATATAATGTACTATTTGAGACAAGATATATAGTAATATTCCTACGTGTTGTGAATTATCTCCACATTTGCCTGACGGTAGTTTCTGATAGTAACCAGTGCGTGGTTACTATCAGTATGGATTTTGAATAAGGATTTTTGATGATGATGATTTATTAAGCTTTTACAATTTTTATGAAGCAAATCAGGAATAATGTCTTGCATTGCAGTAATCTTCGCGTGCTGTATAAAACCGTTACAGATAGGAGATAATGATGTATAACACAAATGTTGGCCTTAGGCAATTCTATAATATCTGCAAAATAACAATATCAAACTCACTATTTCATATATGCTGCCTGATTGCCTGGTTCTACAAAACACAAGGTGTCCTACCTTGGGAAGCAAGGGATGGACGAGATTGTGTTGCACTTATTATTAGATAGATAGATAGATAGATCGTTTATTTGTTTGTTACTAATCACACACAACATGTACATAAGAATAGATAATACATAAAACAACATAAGATTTATAATTGTGTTATTATGTGTGATCTGCAGCAATACAAAAAGGTCGAAGCTCAGCGTGGAACATTGTTCAAGGAACAAAACACTGATTTTCAGCTTTAACCCATTTGAGGGTACTATTACTTAAACTATAATAATTTATTAAACTGAAATACGGAAAATACTTTCGATTTATTGAATACTAAAAATTATATGTTTATAAAATAGTCCAGTCTATCAGTAAGATTTTCATAGATATTTTTTTTTTATAGAATGCTATTTATTTATTATACCTTAAGAGATAATTTAAAATTAATATATTTTGAATTAAAAAAAATATTTGTATTAAAAAAAATATATGATGATAAATTAATGTTATTACTTAGTAATGTATTAACAGTGTTGATAGAATTAAATATAATTCATAGAAAACTACCCATATCATATCAATTAACTAACAAACAGATAAAATTATTAGAATGACTTTCTTTTCTGCAATTACTTAAAATTTATTATATATATAATATTAATAGAAGGCAAAATTTAATCAGAGAAATTAAATATTAAAATAAAATTATTATATTCATTTATTATTATTTAGGAAACTTCTAATTTGTCTCGGATCTGAGTGTACTGGATTGTGCCCCAGATATTTATTGCTCAGTTCCTTATAATTGAAAGTATTTTAACTTGAAGATTAGGCAACTGTGATTGTAGGAGCATTTATTATTATTATTTGTGCCAACAACTAATCTCTTAAATTTCCTAATTTCATCAAAAATTTTGACTTAAAATTCAATTACATTAATAATTAATTAATTAGTTTTGTTTATGCATTGAGTCAATTGGTTAGTCATTTTCACATTTTATATTGAAAAACATTCTTGAATGGCAACCCCATGTAGGCATACACACCGTAGGATGATGCTCCACTAGGTAGAGTGACAACCTCAAATGCATTGCAGGAAGTCAGCGGATGCATGTAGTTCAGGACCATTCCTTATGGCAGTCTATAGGAGCCCTATATACAGCAGTGGACAGATAACAGCCGATATAAACTTCACCAACTAGTAACACTAATATATTATAATATTTCATTCCTATTTATAGAATTCAATAATGTGCATGCCCACATCAAAATATACTGGTTGTTGTGAATCATACAAACCATTATTATTTAGCATCGAGTACGAAGTGAAAGTTTTAAATGCATTCCCATACCGAATGCCTGTACACCACAACACAAAAATATAATTATAGTTTTTTTATAGGCATTTAGATTAAATTGAAAAATATATTAAGCACTAGCAATGTGCCCTGGCTCTGCATGGGTAAATAGAAAGATAAATAAGTACTTTATATTAGTCTTAATGGGCACATTTTTTATATTATTTTAACTGTTTTGTAAATAATATATAACCTACTCACTGATAATGTGGCTTTCTAAATTGGTTCAATAATTTTGAGTTTATTCATTACAAACAAACATATAAAAAGCCAATTCAAATAGTATAGACTATCTATTATTTATTTATATTGAATTTTCAATTCCTTTATAAAATAAACGCTAACACACACTAAAGTAAAATTAAATGCTCATATAAAGAAAAGCAATGTTCCAAAAGAATAAAGTTTTCAATTTGTCTGTATTTTTTTTTTATTGTAAGTTAAAACATAATAAATATTATTTTTACAATCAATAGGGTTTACATCTCTATAAATCCCATATCAATTTCATGACAATTGAAGCACTGTTTCTTTTTACAGCAAAATCTGTTTATAGGCACAGGATTTGTCATGCTATATATTTGTTAGGGTGAAACTCATTATAATTTTTGTAAGTCTTATTGTACTCATAAAATGTTACTACTAAATTATTAACCTACCAATGATAGTGGACAAGTTTATATCTAACAGATTATTATAGGCCATACATATTATTGATAAAGACACTTACATTCTTCTATGCATATCAGCAGTGATTTAAATAAGTATAATGCTGTCCATTTTTCAGCAAACAATACATTATTAATGAGGAATATTAGTCACCTTAGAAAGAAGTACTTGTCAATTTAACTGACAATATATCAAAGCTCTCTTGATTTCATATACAACTGTGTCATGGTGACTTTCTTACCTACTTGCCTATACTGAAAATTATATTATAATAAAATATTTTTTTATACTTTATGTATTCAATCAACAATCTTGAAATGTTGATTTTTTAAGTTGATTCAACAAAAATAAAACACATTAAGATAAATATTAGATAATAATACATAATGAATTAACATAACAAAGTTTTTTATTTCTAGTGTTGTCTTTGTTTTTTAAAGAATGTTATTTTGATAAAAAACTGTATAATACCACATTTGTTTACCAAATATACCAAATATAAAAAACAGATTAATATAAAATACTACTGGATGTTTGTGTGTTTATATACTATACTTATGTATACATATACATAGAATAATTATGTATAGATATTTAATAATATAATAAATATTATAAACAAAACAGCACAGCAGACCTAACTTTTGGGCTGGATTCCACTATTTCCTAAAACAACACCATTAAAAGATATTTTCACTACTATTGAATTTTGTTCCCATAAATATTTAATATAATATATAATAATAATATTCAATAAAGATGCATCAGCTTTTTATCATAATGTAAATGTAACTGTGTAAAAAATGTAAATGTATTATTCAACCAGTAAACACTGACCCCATTATTTATTAAAATATCAAACCATGCCATAAACCTGTTTTAATGAAAAGGTTTTTTGTCCTTTTCTTTTGTGCTTAATATCTAATTTTAAAGAAAGTAACAAAAATCTGAAATAGATTTGTAGGTTTTACATTTTAAGAATAAGGTGGTATGATTATATGGCAATTAATATTTACACCCGTCACCCATGGAATAACTAAAAGTAAGTTTTAAATAACCCTTGAATGTAAATAATAATCTATACTACGAACATGATGAAATTAATGTGATGCCCATGTAATAACATCCTATTCCTATGAACTAAGGTATTCCAAACCCAGTCATTACACCCTTCAAAACATGAGTGGGATGGTAATATATATGTAGACAACTATTTTGTATAGTCTCCCTCATGTCTGCTTATAATTATTATTTGTGTATGAGTCATAACTTAGGCACAAGTAACTTTATTGATGTGGTATTATGACTTTCTAAGTATGTAACTAGTTGTAATAAGAATTCTAAATAAATAGAGTTTGAGTCAGTGGGTACTATACTTCTTTAAGTAGAAATGAAAATTTTATAGGTGCAATGAATCATGCTATTCAGGTTACTGACTTACTGTGCAATTATAACCTAGTTTACACTTATAGTGCCACATAGTTCTCTTTTTTAAACTAATATTTAATGTATACAGTAGTAATTTTGTTAACAATGGAGTGTTTATTAATGAACAATGTGTATTATAATAGATCTAATCTTATTATGTAAAAAAATTATAAATTAATCTCAATTCCTAATATTTCAAATACTACTAATATTATGAACATGAAAGTCTTTAAAAATGTTTAAATACTTATTCTTGAATTAAGTTTGAACAGCTGACTTGAATTAAATTTGAAATATTAATAGAGCATATTCTATATGAACACATAATTTTATACTATTTCACATAGTAAAAAGCCATAAGTTTCAGTTAATAAAATACATAATCTACTATCTTTTAATTGTGTTATATCTAAATAAATTTTATTAATCTACGATGGCCTGTACATAATATAAGGTTTCATTAAAATTCATTCCATTATTTAAGCATGATTGAGCAACAAACATCCTTAAGTACAAACTTTCACACTGATAATATTAAAATATTATTAAAATACTAGGTATGATTAAAAATTATATGTAACAGTTATTTTTTTATGCATATCCATGGATAACTAGGAACTTATCTAAGGTATTATCTACACACAATAACACCAGAAGTAACTCTTCATACCTATGCATGGGAAATTGTTAGAATATAAAAATTCTTTGGGACATTACACAAATAACTCTAAGTGAACAAGATATGTCTTTTGTCATAATAATTGTGTATGTATGTATGTATTTAAACTGAAGGATTTCACATATATTCAATTATAAGAATTTATTCATAAGTATTCAAAAGCTAAAATGATAGGGAACTATACATAAGTTACAGTTAAATTTCTTTTCAAATATTTTTAACTGAAATTTTATTCTAAACATGACATATGAGAAACAAATATTCATAAATACCTAAGATTAAGTTTATTTAAGTAAAAATACTTTTATTAAATTTTTGAAAAAGATACTTACGTGGAAGTTCTTTTATCGTCACTCTGACGTTCTTTGTCCTTGGTGCTCTCACGTTTATTCATAATATTAGACGTTTTGTGCAGGCCCTAAGCCCCACACTCCCGTTCACTCCCAGAGCTCACCGTCAGCAGGGGCCACGGCGATGCAGCCCATGTCACCACAGCTCCAATGAAGGCACACAGAGGCATTCACTCTCCATGCCACAACAGACACTCCACCAAACCACAAGGGGTCACTTTTAATTATTGCTATTTTTTTGGGTCTTCCAACACTATGATCACTACACTATTAATTAATTTACCTCAAAATCATTTTTGTTTAACTGCAAACACGAAACGCACATTATGGAATGTTTCGGCGAGTTGCTTGTAATTTGTAAAAGAAAATATAAATTTTTATTTATCCTGGCTCATAAACCACAGATGAATGCACATGTTTAATAATATCGTGGTTTACATTTAAAGAGAACGAGAGTAAAATAGAGGTCGCCGTGCCAATGTTATGTTCATTGAAGAGTAACAACAAGCTATGTGGGTGTTGCTTCTTGAAGTACTATTACAAAGCCGTAGAGATGTCTCTAATCACTCGCGTCTTCACAAGAAATGCAAAACGTTAATTAACGTTCTCCAGTTCAATATATTAAGAAAAGTAAAAATTGACAGTTCGTTGAAGGAAGTCAACCCTAATTATCAGTCGGCACAGAACATTTTGAAATAATTTCCTACCAAAACCCACAATGGCCAAGATCACAGCACTTATGGGAACTCAAATATGATTATGAGAAAGCCAGATACGCAATTTTTAAACAGCAATCCATGGATTAGTCACAACGTCGCCGAAACATCAAATGGACATTTGTCCTGATAAAAAAAGTTTAGGTTTTGTAATGGCCACCAATGTTACACTTTTAACACTTCTATAATTTTATACAACGAATAACATAAAAAAAAAACATTACACAATTCCATTAAATAAATTACACGTTTAAATAAATATATTACCAACTAACGATAAAATTTCTTATTTATAAAATATTAAACTCAAAGAATAGTCACTGATAAATCGCCATTCGGCGCATGCGCAAACTTGCAGCAGAAAGTGTTGTCATAATACAGAACATTATATTTCTACTAAATTAATATGCGAATCATGGTTTCCCATTACTAAGATTTTATTATTTCAAAAATAAATAAAATAGTATTATGAATTAAAAACAAAACTTAAATTCTCTCAAAGATTTTAATTACCATTAATTAACGCATTTACAATAACTTGTCTGTCACCATAACTAATTAAATACTTTATTTTTATAATGGCAATTAGTATGGAAAGAAAGAAAGTTATAGGTTGCGTTCACAGTTCAATTATATTTATTAAATTTTATTATATAAATTAATACTACTATTGTAAAAATATTAATTCCGTAAAAAAAGACTCAATAATTCCAATTATAATAATTTAAACAACCGTAATGTACATAGTAAGTTAATTATAATTTCAACATACTATTTTAATACAAGTTTAGTGTATTTAGATTTTAATTAAAATAGCAACAGAGTGTTGAAGATTTTCGAATTTTCCCAGCTTTGATCCTATTAATTAGGTACCCATATATCTTTCAATAAATTTATAGTAGCCAAATATTGCATAATTATTTATATTAATATAAATTTTTTCATATTACCTATGTAAAACCGATTAACTTATGTTTAGCAACTGTAGCAGTAATTGATAGTGCTACCTCTGCAGGGCGATTTTAGCACTAATAATTATATTCATGATTACTTATTACTATACTGTAAGAGGCTTATGTCTAGTAGTGGACGAATAATAGCTGAAATGATGATGATGATGATAATGTAAGAGAAGAGTTTTTAGATTATTAATAGATAATTATGACCCGAGTAGAGGTTGAACTGACAGTGTTTGGGTTCTCCTGAGAAATCGTCGTAGTAAATTGCCATGGTGGGTTAACTAATCTGCCTTCATCTTCACGTATTTTCCTAAATTTCTTCACTGCGCTGCAAAGATTCATACCCCATTAGCTATGGAGCAAGCGGAGTACTTTTTGTTGGGTAAAAATGTAATAACGACCTCGCCTACGCTATTATGCACACCAGAAGAAGACTTGGTACAAAAATTGTTTGCTTGGACACTTCTGTCCCATTTGTGTTTCTACCGAGAAGCAGTTGTGTTTGCATCGCCGTGTTTCGGTTTGAAGTGTGGGATATAGTAGTGAATTTATAGGGTACAGAGGAATAATACCCGAGTCTCATAGGCGAAAGAGTATACTCTATTCTGTCCATATTACTGCTAATGTCTACCTGATGAAAAGTGGTAATAGTCGCCTAAACGACTATTACCACTTTTCATCAGGTGGGTCGTCAGCTTGTTTGCCATTCTAAGTTGCATAAAAAAAATTGTTATACAATGGCAGAGCACTAGTGACAAATGATAGATGAGAATGAAGTAGATCATTTGACCATTAATTAATTATTAACAACGTTGATTTCCAGAAAGAACCGCGTGAAGGTCGACTTGATAGGGTATATTGCTAGCATTAGAGTAGTTTTTTTTTCATTGGATGATAATGGAATGGTAACTCCGCCTGCGCTATCGGTATACTATTTTTCATTCTTTGACATTCGGTGATCTATCTTCAGATATACAAAAATAAATTGCAAAATAATCGCGCAGATTAGTTCCTAATTTATAGTTATTCAACTTGCAGATCTCTGACATATGGGCTCCATAAACAGTTTCTCTTTATTTATAACATTAAGGACAAACTAACATATTGTTTCGATAGTAAGTAAATACCACTACTCATATGCGTCCGCAACATTAGGTGTATTGGCGGCCTTTTAGGAAGGCATATGCTTTTTTTCTTGAAGGTTTCAATATCATATCAGGTAACTTGACTTAAGCACGCATCAGCTATTTTTTATTTGTAGGACAGGAACAGAGTTTTTTTTTAATGGATGCGACTTCTACTAGTTAACAGCTGATATAGTTAATAGCTGATGATGATTCATTCCTTACGTTCTATTCCTTTTTCTTTAATCCTTTTCTCTATACCGTAGGTAAGTGGCAAATATCACAAATAAGTGCATTCCCAAGCAGAGGCAGGCGGCCGGTCGTAAAATCAAAAATCAAAACCTTGTGTAATATGTATAAAGTCATATTACGCCAACTCCATAGTTGGGATAAAAGCAAGAAGGTAATGACCACTATCCATTAAAAGAGACTATCTTGGTACGATACATAGATTAAGGATACCTATTATACTTTCAGATTTTTATATAAAGTGTTCAATTGATTCAGAATTGGCGAAAATATCGCGTACGTAAACATTTTTTTATACACAGAAAATGCACGCTCATAACTCGTAAGTAAGCATTACGCAAGGATCGAACGTGCGCTCTACAACTCATATCAAAATGCTCTAAAATCTTCAACAGGCGCTTTTAATGACGGTTCAGATTTTACTTAACTTAATAATTTATTAGTTGAATTAGTCGCACCGACAAGAGGAAACTCCTAAATGAAAAGAAAGAATAACTCATTAAAATCTCATTGCTAGGTACAAATTTATCCCCACAAAAGTGAAGGAAAGAGCCTTTTAGAAATGGGAATAAATACTTCATTGACAGACTTGCCGCGGTTCTCTCTAGAAACTATCGTCAATTCATAAAGAATTTGCCATTATGGACTATTTGACCTGACTTCATTCTCACCTACCATTTCTCACTAGTATCCCACCAGCGCATACCGATAGCATAGATGGGGTTACCACATCACTCTCGTTTTCTAAAAAACCTATAAGAGCATTAGAGCTGCATATAAAGTAATACGCTTACCAGATAGATAAGTAGCTTGTTGTTTCATTTTTTTAATTATTTCTATTCTGCCCTTGTATATTCTGTTTTGTTTCCTTGGTCGCCCCTTATCATCGTAATATACATCCTGGGTATCAAAACAAATGGTAACTTTATATTCTTCACTGTATCTGTTACCGTACTTACGTAAGTCAATGGAGTTGGTTCTGAAACACCATTCTGTTGTCTCTAAAATTAAAATTCCGATTTGATCTTCATCATCATCACATCAACCTTTAACTGTCCACTGCTAAACATAAGCCTCCCTCTTGTAGGGTTTCGCCAGTAGTTGCCATGCTTGGCAGGCGGATTTGCAATCGTAGTCAGGGTTTTAGAGATGTTTTAAGAGAGACACTGCTGCCCAACCCTCCCGCTTCCTTAGCTTTTACGACCCCCACAGGAATGGAAGGGGTGGCCTATTTTATGCCGGGTCCACATGGCCATCCGATTTGATATTATAGCAAAATTATTATTTTAAAGACTACGCCTAGTAAACAAAATTTTTAATAATAATAGAATTACGTTTGAACTGTTTTATAATAAAACGAGGCAAATATGAAGGTTGTGCAGGCCACTAATAAAATATAAAAGAACATTTTATGCAACCTTTGTAGATATTTCTTATGCAACTGCAATTAAACTTGGACGTCGCAAGAATCAACCATTACACAATTTAGCAATAAGTAATGATCATCAGATTAAAACAATGAAGAAAATGTACTTTGATAAAATATATCTATCACTTAAAAAACAAACTGTAGATTTTTAACTCATCATAAAAAGGGTGATTTTTTTTATAATTCGACTGAATTTTATTTACTGCATCTGGAATTATGTCTGATATTAGCCGATCTTTAAATTTAGTGGTATATATCATTACTAACGATTTCACTGATTCGAACTGAAAAAGTTGTTTGAAAAACTGAAAAAAAAATCATAACATTTGTTTGACACTTTTCTAAAATTTAGACAGCCTATAAAGTCGGCTAACACAAAATTTGATTTATATATATAAAAAAATAATTATTTATATACAAAAAAAATATTAATGGTAATATATCCATAGAAATAAAAACAATGTCACCAAAAAGAATATATCTATCCGTCATAATTAAAATACTTTAAAATGCGTAAACCCATAGAATTCGGAAATACTTATGTAATAGCTTATGTCAGCTTTCCTTCATCTGATAGCTCGTTTGGACGGAGATCGGACCAGTATCTCTCTGCTGTAGTTACTAATATTAAAAATTTGATTTTGTGTCGAATATATTTAACTGCTTTTTTTTTATTTTTATCGGAGACTAATCTTATTTAAGTATTTTTCTCAAGTTATTTTTTATCAACTCAGTCTATTATTTTTTAAATTTAATTGTATTTATTATATTACAATTACAAATATAGATGTAAAAGAAAACGTTTAGTTCTTATGACTTCTATCTAATGCATTTAGTAATTAATGATAATGTTAAGGTACTGTCGCATTCTAAATTCATACAATAAAAAATTAACCGTGTCTATTCAAATTAATTACATACATTTATATATAGATTTCGAACATTATATTAAAATAAGTAACTTGACTTATTTTAATACAATATTCAAAAATTGAATACTAATAGGTACTAACTACTACTAATTTACTAATATTATTAACGTGAAAGTGTGTTTATTTCTTTGCTAATAAAGACTAGTAATCAATTTATTATACGAGTAATATTATGTTATTGAGTGTAATCAGACTTTTCTTATAATTAGGTTCATAAATTAAGATAATGCTTTAGTAGTATAGTAACTGAAAAGTAAATTAGGTAGAGTTGCTCGCTACATTTTATGTTGAGCACTGATTTTCGAGAATAATAAAAATGCCGAAACCCAGTCGAAATGAATTAATTTTTTCCACTATCAATGTCCAGAAGACCCAAATATATATAACTAGTATTATGAAATATGAAATTTGGCTGCTTCACTCACGCATAACCGGCCTTCAAAAGCGTTTTTTACAATATAAATATTTTTTAAAATATTTGAAGCACTTTTGATGATATCTGTACCGAGAGAGCACTCTTGCGCTGTTGCTGGTACTTTATTATTTGCAGTACCTAATGCGCGTTAGTACGACACAGTCAACTCGACAGTGCCAGAGACAGTGCCGATTTGCCCGCGATCTAAACTTGACGTCTCCAAAATCAAACAAAACAAGAATAAAAAATATAATTGAAGGTGAATCAAACCAGTCCACGGAACAACTTGTTCGGGGAGGTCAACAACAAATGTAAGTCTTGCTTGTTCCCACCCGGTAATTGTCGTTTACATAGTTATAAAGTATTCACTCAGGTATTGTGTACGTATTTAACTGTTATGGACGAACCGGTTCATATTTTTAAAACTGACGTGCGTCGCAGTTTCAACACATTACACGATGAAGGAAATACTAGATATAAAATATAATTTCGACCACTCATGTAAATGTATTTGCGAGAATTATTTACGTGTTTTATCGCGAATATATATTGCATCATATATCGGAAATAATATCAGGAAAATGTTTTACCCACGCTAAATATTGTACAGGTAGGTAAAGTTTTTTTTTTTTTTTTAAGATAAAGGTTAAACTCGTTTTGTTTACGACAAGTTATGGAATAAATATTAGTATACACAGTTACCACTTACCTATTGTCAAGTGAATCGTCAGTCTATTTTTATTGCAAGTTGCATAAAAAAAGACAACGAATTGACATAAATTATCGAAACCAATATAGATTTGATTCTAGAAATTGGGCCTTTTTCCTAACCATATTGCGTACAGATTATTTATTTGCAATACTGTTAAAGAATAAATATAGGTACTTTGTTCATGGAATTACCGACAGCTCACGAAGATAACACGACCCTTTTTATTAGTAATTACGTTGAACATGAATCATGATTATATAAAACCTTGTAAAGTTCTCACAAAAACAATATAGATCTATCTTAAAATGGAGAATCCTAAATATACCTGTCGGAACTGAATTTGACAAATCTTTTTATATTTAATAGAGTTTATACCTTTAAAATGTTATTATGTTTATAATTCCTTTTATATAAAACAAGTTCTTAAATTATGAAACGTGATTAAACTAAACCTTTTATCTATTTACCAAATACATATAATAAAACAATAGATAACAGGTTGTTCCTGTTCTTGGAATATGTATTTATTAAACATTGTAACAACAGTATAGATAAGTCAGTATAGAGAGTATATACAGTAAGTCATCGATTTAGATATCATCGATACAGGTTAATAATAAAGCATCAATTCTTGTTTCTCTGTCTGTGAAGGTATTACGCAAAATTGGCTGTATATGAATAGTAATTTTGATGAAATTTTAATTGGTTAACATAAGTAACCTGAGATATTTTTTTGGTATATGAAATATATCAGTCTCGCAGGAAAATATAAAAACTTCCCATAGGCATTGGGTTTGTATAAGTATTATCTAATTTCCGTGAAAATATGTATTTTTTTATTAACTGCTACCTACTTGGAATAGCAAAATAGCTGATAGCTTACCTGATGGAAAACAGTATGTTGTCTGTTGTCTATGATGAACAGCACCATAGACGTAATCAAAGATTTTGGACGTAACTAAATATATTCTGGCACCTATTATATTCCTTATGGGTTGACGTTCTCGAGGACAAACGTATCATGCATTGTCGAATTAATAAAAAAAGAAAGAAAATATCATGCATGCTTTTTATTGCACAATAATGGAATGGTAACCCTGTCTACGCTATCGGTATACGCTGGCCGGGCACCAATGAGGGCTGACATGACAAATTCAACAAGATTTTGTCACGATGGTTTCCAGGGTGAACCACATGGAGGTCGATCTGATATGGTATATTGCTAGTAATGGGGCTATTTGATCTATTACGTCCCTTCTTCCGTATGTTATATTTGAACCGGTATACTCGTACTGTGAAAAACTTGAGAAATTATAATTGGACCGAAACAGAACGGGTTGCGCTCATAGTCGTATTTAAAAGGGGGGGGGGGAGGGGGACTCTAGAATTGTCTGGTGCCCATCCCAGGATGCAAGCAAAGCTACACAAAGACATGTCTAAGAAAACATATTGGGTTTTTTAAGGGTCACGACACTTCCTGGAATTTCTTAAATACGCTAATAGGGCTTGGGTTATACCTTTTACAAGCAAGATCCAAATAAAGTATATGGATACATAAAGTTTAGGCAAAGAAAACACATTATTTGTACGGACTGGACTACTAGACATGGACTAGCAGTTATTTCCGCAAATCTGTGATGTCTATTGGCAAGATAACTAAATAAAATGTTACGATATCGCTATATTTATATCTTGCATAAAATATAGGTGCGCTATTGTAAGGACATATATTTTAATGAATAGTTGCTTTAAATAAATAATTTACTCATTCGTAGATTTACGAAATACGTAATATTGTTTGAAGTATTGAATCGAAATCATAATAGACAGGCAACTTCCGTTCGCGACCGTCATACAAAGTAATATTCGCGATATTACTAATAGAAAATCACAAAATGACTGGAATTGATTTATTTAAATTTATACTTGAATTTAAGTTAATTGGGAGAGTCTGTTTTTAGCATTAAGTCCGCCTTGTACACGTACATGTACTAATGAATAAATAAATAAAGACATATAAATATTTATTTTAAATTGAATTAGACATATTTATCTGTAATAATATTTTTAAATTACAAGTATTTTGTTAACTAATAAATTTATTGATGTTACATTTTATTGCACTAGTTACAAAAATGATACAAAAGTTAATTAAATTTAATTTATTTTGTCATTCCAGAGTACGTCCTAAGCGACAAAATAAATTAAATTGTTACATTATAAAGCATTATAGTTGCCAATCCACGTATGGAGTATGGAGAAAGGATGTTAGTATGTAAGTACGCTATACGTGTGTGCTTTGGTCAGTACAGATGATGCTAAGCCATCCACCTACCTGGTGGATAATATACGTACTTAATTCCAGCTGAATTCCTCACTATGGTCCGACTGACCTTACTTTATTCTCAGTTATCATGAATGTTAGCATTGTAGACGTGTGTCTAGATTTATTGTGGAATATCATTACCTAAATAGAATGCCCGTATAAAAATGGGCCACCACTTCCTATCCTGTGGTGTCGTAAAAGGCGAGTAAGTTAACATAACTTAATGATCGATGGATGGACAGCAGCATCCCTCCAAAAACATCACCAATGCCAAATTGTGGTTGAAACCAAGCATGACAACTATTGGCATCCCCCCCCCTTTATGGAGGAGGTCTATGTTCAAAAGTGAACAGAACAGCTAATATAATGATGATGATGATCAGTACCTAAATGAATATTTCAATTGTAGTGATATGCATCAGATGTATTCAAATTAAATACGAGTAGGTATAATTTAAATTGTCGATGCAATCTAATCTTTATAGGCACCTACTCAATTCACTGGAATAACTGCAATAAAATCTATCTCACTTGAAGGACATACGTTCTTTTCTAAAATGTTTACAGTATGAGCATTTACCAGTTTCATGTATTTACGTAAATTCGATTTTTCAATTTCACTCTCATAAATAAGTAGGTTTTCTTTCATAATAACAACGGAGCGCAACGAAAAATTGTTTGACAGTTTATGACCGTCATATTTATTTTATACTACCGCATGTCGTCATAATTATGCATATACCTGCGCATATAGCACCACTGTAACAAAAAACTGTATTAGGCATGGATAATATAGACACAGGGGGGGGGGGGAAGGGATTGTTAGTAATGCGGTCTAACTGACCCATTGCTAGCAATACACCCTATCAGGTCGACCTCCTCGTTGTTCCTCCTAGAAATGGTGGTTAATTCTAAAGGAATTCGTCACAATGGGTTAATTGACCTGCTTTTATCGTCACCTATCATCGCTCACTGGTGCCCCGCCAACATATACCGATAGTGCAGGCAGGGTTACCATTCCATTATCACTTATTAAAAAAAAATATAGAACCGATCCTATATATTGGGTTCCTCTGCACATTGATGGGAAAAAAGGTCATTACCTCATTTCAATATTGGTAACCATCGCCTGTACACATGAACAGCACCAAGGGCGTCACAGATTATATTGTGACGTCCATAATGTTCTTCATGTTTTGCTATTCCTGAGGACTATGGTATGCCTATGTATCCTGTAATTTCACTGTCTTATCTCACCCCTCAAACTGAAACACAGCTGTGCAGACATAGTTGCTGCGTTGTATACACGTGTGAGTTTGTGGTACCTAAGTAGATGACTTTTCCGTAGCCGTGTGGTCCCGGCATAGAATAGGCTACCCCTTTCTTTCCTATGGGTGTCGTAAGAGACGACTAAGGAAACTTAATGTTAAAGAGATGGGCAGCAACGCCTCTTAAATCATCTCTAATAGCCTATCTACGGTTGCCAACCCGCCTGGTAAGCGTAGTAACTATGTATACTGGCAAATTTCACCTTGTTATTATTAGGCTTATAAGTATTTACATCAGTGGACGGTTAACGGCTGAAATGATGATGACGGTTCGCCCTCTGGTATTAAAGCCCTTCCTTCGAGTACGTAATACAAAAATCGTTAGACCAGCAATATTTACGTTTACATCGAAAAAAGTTCGAAATTCTTGATTCAACCCGGATAGTCCTTATATTATTCATATAGATTACTTGTACTGGTACATAGGATAGTAGGTATAGGTCCAATATGGCGTAGACACGACATCTACTAAATAATCCATGTCGTGTTCTTTCACTACATTCCGAAGTTTATTCAGCGCATATTTTTGTCTTGAAAAAGTTCACGACTTTTATTTCAAACTGAGAAGTACCTACATAGAAGTAGTATAACGTGGATAGGCAGAGATACTTTACTTTAGATTTATCCTTTTTTGCAGTTAAAACAGAAACTATTTTTAAAATTATTTGAGTAATTTCTTAGTTTCTCAAATAATACAACAAATAAACACAAAATGAAATCTTCTTTTTTAAGTTTTTTTTTTTTCAATTACAACAAAAATATTTTTGCACTGACAATTCCTAAGTGTTTGAATTACGACGCTTGGATTTGTAAAAATTTAAATTTACGTGTAAACTATGTGACCCATAAAATTTCAAACTTAGCTAAGCTTATATATCTTTTATGCCGATAATAAAAAACAGCCTATATTATTTTAAATCTCCAATTATACGTTACGAGTATATCAAACTCCGTCACAACGGTTGTTAAGGCACTGAGAAGTAACAAACTAACAAACTTACTTTCATATTTATAATATTAATTAGGATTATTAATTATTAGTTACACGTGGATTTATATATTTATATGCCCTGAAATACCCTAGAATTATTAGTTATTACTTACACGTGAATTTATTTACTTACAAGTCGTCTTGAAATACTGGATTGTTATTAAGACAGTCACGTGTAAATATTATTTTTTTATTCTCTCGAAGTAACCAAATACATATAAATGACATGGTTGCTCAAAATAATAATTTTGAAATTGTTGTATAATTTAAATTCATATATTACACGATATAATATTAAAGGAAAATACAGTTATGATGTAACATATTCTACTATCGTATTGTTACAGTCTATATTTAAATATTTTTCACTATTAATTCCTTGTTGTGTTGATGACCTTCGTAGTTCAACCGTTTAACACATTATGTCCCATTTCAATGATTGGTGGTTCGATTCCCGCACAATACAATACAAACAAATGAATTCAAGACTATTTCGGTTTCTATTAATCTGGGTATTTTCTATTTTGGGTTACTTAGTTTAGAACTAAATGACATTAATAATATTCTATTATATTTACTTGTAAATTACATTGTTAATGTTTTTATAAATATTATAATATAACCAGTAATATATATTTATTATGTTCATACCTACCTATTTCGATAGAGCAATGCCACCGACAGGAACACCGATAGTCCGAAGGATAATCAAGCTGAAGTGACAATGGGCTGGTCACATAGTTTGACGAACTGACAACCGATGGGGAGAAAAGGTTCTTTAGTAGCGAACCTGTACAATACTCGTACAATAACATAAATCGACCCCCCTCCCAACACTAGATGGAGTGACGACCCCAAATGCATTGCAGGGAGTCTGTGGATGCAGGTGCCTCAAGACTGTTTTTATGGTAATCCCAGTCTATGGAGGACGCCTATGTGCAGCAGTGGACGGATGAATGATGATGAAAATGATGATGAACATTATTACCATATACGAGTACATATATAAATGATATATTTAAATTTATGCCATAAATACAAGTAAAATAAGATCAGTAGAGCTTTATAGATTCAATAGGCTTTTTTAAATTTCATTTCAATTTTGTATTCGTTGAGGTAGTTGCGATGTGTCAATTTCAAGTCAACCATCACGCAGTCCCTCTTGTGAATCATTGTAAGTACTTAAATTCTGTTGAATTCGTCACGACGAATCAACTGTATTACGTTTCGCCTCACTGGTATCCTTCCAGTGTATAGTGCCAGCGGAATTATCATTTCATTATCATTTATAAGCAAAAGAAAAATATTATTTTTAATATTCAGATAGAACAATAGAGTTTACAAACCTGTTTTTCATGTTAAAAATGTCAAACAAGCTAATGACGTAAAGAATAATACTGAGAAATCACGGATTACCTAACCAGCTCTCTATTTGCTACGGTATACAGTGCAAGCTGCAGTATTGTGGTAATTATATGTATATAATTAGGTATTTGTAGATAGATACAGCTATGGTGTTATAACAAGGCCTCTTAGCTTAACCTCTACTAATTGAGGTAACAATTATTAGGGACCTACTAAATATACATAACATAAACCCATCACCCTTCATCTTTTGCGTCTACCTTATGTTTAGAAAAAAAAATTTAGCTTTGCAAGAGAAATCCTTATTTAATTTAGCGCACAATCTTTATAAGTCTTATCTTATTGCCTTATAGGTGCATCGTATGAATATTATCTGTTTTAAAAAGTAATAAAAACGTAAAGTGTTAATCCTCTTTCTGTCCAACAATCGTGCTCATTCATCTCTGTCCTAGATTAACTGCTATATTTCGACTCAATGCAAGGTTTCATTCATCTGAGCTAGTTGTATTAGTCTGACCTTCTTATTGCCACACATAGTCTAATACTGTACTAGTACTATTACTTGTCTTATTTAGACGTATACCTACAGAGACATTCCGTTTTATCTTAATTACGTACTTCAAGGTACATTAGTTCTTGAAGTAAGTATTTTTTCCCTAAACAAGTCAACATTGATGACAATCGATCTTCTTCAAACGCTCGGTATCCAGAGGCAAGGCAAAAATAAAAAGCATTTTGTGCAGAACTAAAAGTAACTGTAACAATGGTTTATTATATAACATCTAGGTTAGGTCAGCTTGTGGAAATTAAGAATTATCGTTAGCTAAATTAGATGGGTCGGAGGTCAATGTCGTAGGTCGGAGTAATGAAGCTATAAATATACTTGGAAACGCTATTTTCGCACTCGGCTAATCTTAACTTACACGATCCTGTCAGATTATCTTTAAGTGCTTTGTCTTAAGTTGTTGAAAGCGCCATTATCGTATTTATAAATTGATTGTTTATATATTTGTATGTGTATATTAAAAAAGGTTTAATTAGGTTTACGTAATGATTTGTGCGGAGATACAATTATTGTCGATTTGTTTTAATTCTAATGTCTGTACTAGATGGTACTGTGTTCTAAAACACGTTATAGTTTAATTCCCTTGAAGTTAGGTTCTAGCATTTGAAACATTTAGTACTGCAAAGATTTTTTTACATTGTATTCATTCTTTTGTACGTGGTGTTTTATTTCGGAATTTTTTTGGTTTGTCTGATACCGCAGCGTATACCCCATCAAAGTGATATGCTTTTTTTTATAAAACTTGGATTTAGAAATTAACAGTTAATGGACCATGTTAATAAAAATGACTTTATGTCTAATTTTTTTGATTCAGTAGAACTAAACTACTATACCGATTTTGATAAAATTGGTATTAGACAAATTTGTAAGTATATCCTTTCAGATAAAAAAGAAATTTTCCAAATCGGTTTTTAGGAGGGATTAAACTGAAACTACCACGTTTATTTTGTTAGGTAAACTACCGTGGCTATAAAGGCTAGCAGTGGGGTCATAACTCCCCATTACTAATAATCCTGCCCCCTCTCTTTGGATCCATTCACACTCACTCATACACTTTCAGTAAGTCTGCATGTCTTACCCAACTATCAAATTTAAGACACAAAAAACAGCCATATAAGTACGTTAAGTTGAGAATCAATACCCATGTGGACAACTTTGCACAGTTTCTTTCTAGTAAAGACATTAAAAGGTAGTTTGTATCATTTCTTGATTCGTTGTCGATCGCTCCTTACGTCGCAGGTGGTTGAACGTATAAAATATTTATAGTGCTTATTTTGTTATAGTTTGTAATTGAATTAAGAGTTTTATAACACGTATAGAATAAAACTTGAAAACAGAAAGTACAATCGACATAATTTTCGGCCGTTTCCATGGGAAATTAAAAAGTCAAAGAATCTCTCTTTAATTATCTTAGAATTTTGGTTTGTAATTTTTTTTACCATGATTAAATATCCAAATATCTTCTAAAACTTTCACATTTATATTAGTAATGTTAGTAAAATATGTTATTTTTTTACAAAATATATTTTACCATTTACCATATTACTTACATGTATTATTGTGAACTGATTGTAATAAAGAAAACGCCGGTTCGTGTAATAATAATAACGACGTTGTATGAATAATTAAAAGAATACAATATTGGAAATACAAATTACAAAGGAGTTTGTAATATGTATATTATTTTATTATTAAATAATTGTAACGAAAACAAATAAAACTTTATTAGAATAAATAAGTAAACGAGACAACATCCCGAATGTTTTACGAATTTCATGATAATTTGTAATGAGTGGAAATTTTATGTTTATAATATAATGTTTGTATTGCTATAAAATAATTAGAATTAAAAAAAATACATTTAATTACAGAAAACTTTGAAATATGACGGAGAACAAGAGTCCAGAAGAATTGCAAGAACTTGTTCAACAAATGCGGAAATGGGCTTACGAAGAGCTACAGTTATCCAAAGGTCTAGGTTAGTGAAGTTAATCCTAACATAACATTTGATAAGAAATTATCACAATATTAATTACGTGAGGTTATTGTTTTTATTTAGATTCCGCCCTTCTCCTTTCGTCTCTGAAGGCTGGTATTTAGTATTTAGTAAAATATGGCAGTTAGAGTTAGGAGATGTTCCGTTGCAAAAAAAAAAATACTGAATAAATCGTAAATCTCCGAGACGGTTTTTTAAAAAGATGAGTTCTTTTCTTGTTTCAGTGCTTTTTTGAAAGTAGTAAAATAAATAGTTTGGACTAGCAACGAACTGAGAATATTGACAGGTTACTTTGAAATCTTTATAGACAAATAGCCGTTACGTTTATGCATTTGACCTATATTGATATATAGGCCAACATGAATGGACATAATGGCTGTGTGTGTATGGATAGCGATGGCGACGCGTAATAATACTGATTCTGCGATAAAGTTATCGATTGGCGACTGTGCGTACAGTAACATTCACCTAATGAACTTGAAATTGAGTACACATTAATTACTAGTTAGAAACTAGTTTATTATTATTATTTTTAATTAATGATAATGGAATGGCAACCGCGCTCATGCTGTTGGTATACACTGGCGGGGCACCATTGAGGAATGATAGGTGAGAATGAAAAGGCAGATCAGTTACCCGTAATAAATATACCTGGAATTAAGCACGATGGTTTCCAGGAGGGATCACATGGAGCTCGACCTATCAGGGTACATTGCTAACAATAAAACTGATAGGCCGTATTATTAACAATCCCTCTCGGAAACTAGAAGTTTGTCCGCGTGAATTTGTTACTTGTTATGTATTCTGATTCAATCCTGTTATTGAGTCTCAACCCGAGAGTCGAAACTCCCGGGTCATATCACGTGACAGTTAGTTTATATAATTACTACTTACTAAAATATGGTCTGCCGTGTAGTTCCAGCATATAATGGGCTTCCTCTTCCTTTCCTTTGGGTATTATAAGTGGTGATTAAGAGAAAAGTTGAGAGATGGGCAGCAGCGTCCCTCTTAAAACATTACTACAGTCAAACTTTGGTTGCCAACCCGCCTGCTAAGAGTGGTAACTATTTTTTATTTTATTTTATTAAAGACCATTTTATGGTGGTGTTGCTATACTCGTATTGAGCAGAGAACAGTCAACGTCTTATGTGATAATGATGATAATGTATAAATCTTTGTATTCGCGTAAAGTAGAGGAGAAGCAAATGTTATGTAAAAGCAAGGGGCACGCTAGTAGCATTTTTTTTTGATGGGTGAAAATGGAATGGTATCCCCGCCCGCACTAACGGAATACGCTGGCGGAGCACCAGTGAAGGGTGATAGATGAGAATGAAAACAGGCCAGTTAGCCCATCATGATGAATTCATCAGGAATTAACCATGATAGTTTCCAGGGGGAATCGCGAGGAGGTCGACCTGGTCCCATTGCTAGCAATATATCCAATATTGCTAGCAAAGGGATTCTCAGTCTCCATTACTAACAATCCCTTTCCCCGCTATTAGCATTTGTAGTTTAAAAAGATTTCATTTTTCTTTTCAGAGGACAACTTGCTAAGGAGATTCGTTCACAGCTGCTACTATGATATAGATAAAGCGAAAGCCGCGGCCGAGCTGTTCTTCAGCATTAGATCCTCATCACCGGACCTGTTCAGCAACAGGGACCCCCAATCGGCGCAGATGCAGAAAACTTTGAGTATTGTGTGAGTCTCTTCAATCTCATATATTTATTTTAATATTTTTATATTATCTATGCGGTAACAGAATAAGAATACAACATACCTCGTTCAAAATAAAAAATGTAAAATATTATGAGGAGCTACTATATTTCTGTGCTAGTTCAATTTATTTAAAAAAGTATTTGTATTATTTGTTTAGTATATATCGTACAAACTTCTGTTAGTTTGGGACTAGATGGTGCTGTGTAATATTTTTTATAACTATTATAATATTAGCCGTTAACCGTTCACTGTTGAACATAGGCCTCTCCCATAAGGAAGGGTCTGCCAGTACTTGCTACACTAGTCAGGCGTGTCAGCAACGGAAGTTAAACTTTGATGATGATTTAAGAGGAACCCTGCTGCCCATTCCTTAACCATTAAGCTCCTTTAGTCGCTTCTTACGACACCCACGGGAAAGGAACGCGTGGCCTGTTTCTATGCGGGATTACACGGCACGGGTGTGTAATATGTTTAAGAATCTTTATTTATTTAGATTTGATTTGATGTTGATTTATAGTAACAAACCACTGTTGATTACCAGAGGGAGACTTTGTACAAAAGTCGATTACTTGGGTACCTCTGTTCCATTCGTGTTTCAACTGTGAAGCAGTTGTGTTTGCATGGCTGTGTTTCGGTTTGAAGGGTGGGATATGGCGTGAATTTACTGGTTACAGAGGAATAACACCTGAGTCCTCACGAATGGCATGCAATGCATGGGGGGTATCATGGGCGAAACAGTATACTCTATTATGTCCATGGTACTGCTCATGTCTAGGCGACGGTTACCACTTTCCATCAGGTGGGCCGTCAGCATGTTTGCCATTCTAAGTTGTATAAAAAAAAAGATTGTTTGTTTTCAAGAAATATTTATCTATCTATCATCATTAAATCCATTCTTGACCATCTGTACGCCATCTAGAGAGATATAATATAATGTAACAAAGAGCCTTCAGTTTGAAGGATAAGCATGCACAAACAGGAGCTGAAATATAAACTCGTCTGCAATGGACTCTATCTGATAAATATTATTTAGTTACTTTACTAAATTTTATAGCACCAGAGCTATTCCTATGTTTTATCAAAAATTACTAACAATTACCTTGACCAGGCAATTGTTGTCTACTAATAATTAATCTGACTTCCTTTACGAATCTAACAACTCAAGCGAAACGTTCGTTTCCGTTCATCTGGCTTGGCTGAATATTTTATGCAACTTCAAAAGGGAGGTTGGTTTAATAAACACATTCAGCGGCTGGTATATAGAAAATTTTAGATTTTGCGCCTCTAAAAATCTTAGAGACTTCAATTACAATAACACAGGAATAAACACTGTTGAATTGAAAAAGAAATATCAAAATGATATAACCGGTGAATTGTGGACCTCTTCCGTTTTGTATATCTTTATAAGCGTTTTTACACAATATTTTTACCAATTCTAGAGTTACACTCGTACAATCGTCATCATTTCAACCGTTAACTGTCCACTGCTGAACATACGCCTTCCCCATAAGGGGAATTTGCCAGTAGTTGTCACGCTTGGCAGGCGTATTGGAAACCACAGTTAGGCTTTTAGAGATATTTTATACGGAACACATCTGCCTATTTCTGTATCAATAAGTTCCCTTAGTCACCTCTTGCGACACCCACAGGAAAGAAAGGAGTGGCCTATTTTGTGCTAGGACCACTTTGCCCACACGACCTCATGTACAATAGTAAACAATAATATAAAACAAAAGAGGGTTATTTCCATATTTAGCAATGACGTTTTAGACCTTTTTTGTTTTATTATAATATTATTATTGTATAATATTATTATTGTATAATATTAAATTATTTTTCTCAAAAAGCTAGTTCTTTTTTTGCTGAACAAAACCTTAAAGTCTTTTTCACCATCTTCCAGGAATCTGGCTCGTTTCCAGATATCACAGAACAGAAACCTCTGGATATGGCAGCTCAATGATCCCGGACTCGTACAGTACGACTATATTCAGGACGTGAAGTTGTTTTTCCTCGTAACGGACGCATGGCTACTGGATGATGAGCATCTGGAGAATTCCGATATAGTTATCATGGATGTGAAGGATATTACGCTTAAATTCTTAATGAAGTATAACATGTCTGTGGCGCGGAAACTTGCGAAATATCAAGAGGTACGCTATACTTTTTTACTGAACCCACTCTTTGTGGTCGCAGGTGTATCGACTATTACTTGTCAAAGGTCTTATGTACATTTATTCATACATTAACATATATTTTCTTTTTTTCCAATTTTCTTACTAATCTATTTGTTTTTCTTTGTTCTTTTTGTTTGTCTTCTTATGCTCATTATTCTATTCCTCATTACTTACTACTTATGTACTTATCATTTCTCAGTTAACCTTATTTAGACTCGTTTTTAATTTTCCGTACTTATTTTCCTATATACGTATTTTTTTCCATTTATTTTTTTAAATAAATGAAAAAAAAAATTACGTTCTATTGTTTTTTTTTATCAATAGAAATGCATGTTACAGATATATAACAGCGAAACAAAAAACTGTTTGGGGTTTATTCGTCACTTGTTATGTATGGTATTTTATGTTACGAATTATTTATATAATTTATATTTTAAAAAATTAACGTTATCTATTCTAGCTACTTATATTCTATTACAGGCGACGGTTACCACTTTCCATCAGGTACGCCATCGGCTAGTTATTCTAAGTTGTACAAAAAAAATAAGCCCACTACCCGTCATAAATCTCTTCTTACAAGAGGAATAACTTATATATTGTGACCACTTTTAAGGCGTCATGGGGTTTCATTTCAAGTTTTCTTTCTCCTGTATAGATATACTGGGCTTTGTTATATAATATAAATAAAGATTATTATTTTTGGACATAGGTAGAAATTTAAGCGTACCAGTTAATCTCCCACAATTTTCTGTTTTTGCTAATAATAAATGTATGATGTTTACAGGATGCGTTGCCTATACGATTGAAGCAGATTCATTTGGTGAACGCTCCTTCGTTTATAGACAAGATATATGGGCTCATGAAACCTTTCTTAAAACAAGACATCACTAATATGGTTAGTAAATATTTAACTGTAGTATAATGTGCAGTGTATACTTACTCGTATATATAATATATTGTCTTCTTAAAATGCCAGTTCTTACATCAGCGACTTTTCAAGCGATTTCAAAAATAAGAAGATTCTCTATTCGGTTGTATTTTTTTATTATTGTTACCATTTTTTGTTTGTTAACTCCGTCAGTTATAAACAGATTTGGAAAAATCTTTTTGTTTATTAGAAAAGATATTGTTTCCAATTGATCCCATACATATGTTATTAAAATAGGTTAAGTAGTTTAGTTTTTAAATCAAAATAACTTTTAATCACAATTGCAGTTGATTTTTTTTTGTGTATTACAATCTGAACATGGATATCGTTTACTATACAGTAATATTTACTACATGCTGATCCGATTAAACATTATATTACCTGCGATACTGCAAAATATCCGTATGTCCATCACTTTAAAAAAAATTGTGTTTGAATTAAAATTAATGAAAATGTAAATAATAATTGACCCAACCAAAGGACAGTCTAATCATCATCACCTTAATCATTATCTGTGTACTGCTGAACATAGACCTTCCCCATAGACTGCCACAAGAAACGGTCCTGTGTCATCTGGATCCACTGACTCCCTGCAATGTATTTATCCCTCCATCTCACTAGATGGAGTGACGACCTCCCCACTGGGAGTCGTCAAGACAAATGCAGTAAAGGACAGTCTACTGATGGCCAATAGTAGTAGAAATACATAAAAAATCTATAATTTGATCAATTATTTCGATTTGTTACTAATGTCATTTAGAGTGTTTCTGTGATAATTTCAACAAATTTTAATTATCATTAAATTGCATTGAAACGAGCTGTAGTGATTAAATAAAATCTATTAAATTAAATTAATAAAAACTTATTATTAAATGATTTTACAATTTACGCACGTGACTGGTTTCAAAGTTTCGAATATTTATAACTACTATTATTATACACTAGAGGAAAAAATTAAGGGATCAAAAAAAATTCTAATTTTTTTGAGGTTTTTCAAGTAGCTGTATTTCCCTTAAAATGGTCGTACTGAAATTTTAAAAAAGCATTTTAAAGCTCAAATTTTCTAGTTTTGAGATCTTACAATGAAAAAAATTTTCAAGCAACGTGTTCCGCTCAATCCTAATGAACACCGAAAAAAATTTTTTTTCGAAATTTTTTATCTATGAACTTGGTAAATTTTTTTCCAACTTAATCACTATATGGATCGGATAGCTTGTTCATTCAGCTTTAATTTGTTTTTTTGCAAAGTTCGATACGACCACTTTTCACTGAGGTATCGAACTCTGAATTAACAAGTTGGGTTTTAGTGATGTTTTAAGAGCTGCCCATCCCTCGATCATTAAGTTCCCTTAGTCACCTTTTACGATACCCACGAGAATGGAAGGTATAACCCATTATATGTCGGTACTACACGGCTTTGTATATTTATAAAAAGTGTAATGGACAGAAAAAGTACTCAATTGCCATTTATATAAATAAATTTTAATCGCTAAATGTATCTCAAAGTGCAAAATTAGAGAACGGCTGCATCAATTCAACGAATTTTTCTTTTTATATATTCGTTGAAGTTCGAGTAAGGTTTCTATGAAGAAAATAATTAGGAACATCGTCCGGAAAAACGTAAAAATCCATTTATTTTTACCATACAGCTTCTAGCTGACGTTCTACGTTCTAGCTTCTAGCTTTTGGAAGATTGTTGTCCGTTGGATCAGCTATTTTTATAATTTTTATGCATTCATCCTTCTTTTGTATGTAGAACTTACATTTACGTGTCTTTTTTTAAAGTTACACTTCCACCCACCGAAGGCGGACACACTCCACAAGTTTCTAGACAAAGATGACTTACCAGAAGACTACGGAGGTACACGTGGCAAAATGGAAGACCACATGAAGAATGTTATGGAACTATTAGATAGGAAAAGGTACGAGAAATTATATAGAATTTTTTTTATATAACTTAGAATGGCAAACAAGCAGACGGCCCACCTGATGGAAAGTGGTAACCGTCGCCTATAGACATGAGTAGTACCATGGACATAACAGAGCATACTGTTTCGCCCATGATACCCCCTATGCGTTGCCATTCCTGAGGACTCAGGTGTTATTCCTCTGTACCCAGTTAATTCACGCCATATCCCAACCTTTAAACCGAAACACAGCCATGCAAACACAACTGCTTCACGGTAGAAACACGAATGGGTCAGAAGTACCCAAGTAATCGACTTTTGTACAAAGTCTCCGTCTAGTAATTTAATTTAGTTTCATTATTGTAATGACATATTAAAAATTCTAAATGAAATAATATTGCCTTAACGTAGAATTTCTAATAATGTAATAGACCCAGTTGAGGTTTATTTGAGATGAAAATGGAATTTTTTATAAGTTTATTTTTACAAGTACCACATAATTACACCAATTGGTCCTGAAGCTAGGATACCCTGTGTTATTAGGAACCAGGCAACAAATACCTAGCAGAACCAGAACACCCCGATCCAAACTAAATTCAGAAAACTGTTTCCTAAATTGACTTGATCGAGAATCGAATCCGGGACTTTATTTACGCAAAGAAGGGGGTTTTGCCAGTAATTGCCATGCTTGGCAGACGGATTTGCAACCGGTGTTAGACTTTAGAGATGTTTTAAAAGGGACGCTGCTACCCATCCCTCGCCCTCACTTAGTCGTCACTTACGACATTCACGGGAAAGGAAAGGTTGAGTAAAGGTGAAAGTATATATGTCTTACGTTATGATTATGCTAACTAGTTTATTAAATTACATTTATTTATTTTTCACAGAGAACCTCTAATAAGTGAAAACTTGTGGAGGGTAGAGAAAAAATCAAAGAGCAAATCATCAAATGAGCAACCTTCGTCAGCCGATACAACATTCCGCACACTCGAGATCGATTAGCAATAGCTTATTCTTAGATAACCTTATTACGGGTGACTTAGGGTAAGTGTCATTCTTGCCACATACCTATGAATGTAACTAGCTTACTGTTGATCAGTCCTAGACCACTTAGGCAATAAAAGGTTTATTACATTGTAATATAATTATATAGATAATCGTATGAATCAATAATACATGATGGATACGATACATTTTATTAGAACCAAGCTGTTCGCTCCGGCTTCGCTCGAGTGTAATATTTTTATTTAATATTTTATTTAATATTTTTTTTCATACAATCTGTGTCCTGATAATTACAAATTCAGAAAAAAAAAGAATTAGTCAAACAAGTGCATCCATTTTAAAGTAATATGGTTACATACATTCGGCCATTGAATATTATTATTATTATAAATAAAACAGTGATTTTACATTTTTTTATGCTTGCAACTGATAAATAACTCTGTCAGTTATAAATTGATTTGGAAAATTCTTTTTTTATCTGAAAATATGTATATACTTAAAGACGGCCCTATAGAAATTTTTATCAAAATCACTATGAATGAATTATAAGTTCTCCAATTTGATGTTCGTAACTTCCAATAATTCGCTCGTTATAAAAAATAAATTAATAATCATTTTATCAATTCCATTTTTTCAGGAACTCGATTAAAAATACATGAAACGTAGATTAACAAAAAAAAAAAAACAACCAAAGGATAGATAATAATAATATTTATTTTATTTTTTATATACGAGTCTTTCTTGCTCTCAGAAATACCTAGAAATACTATTATATTACTTATTACAAATAATGTGAGCGAAGGTGAACTTATCTCTGAAAGAGATCTCTTCCAGTCAACCTAACACTGGTATAGGAAGACTAGAGTGGGCATTTGTAATGTAAGAGAGTATTGAAAACATATGTTTAAATACTATATAATATGTAAAACCTACATATATACAATATATAGATAGTATGTTAATACATAGATAATAATATGTCCATAAACAAATATAAAAGTAATACACCTCAACACACCAAGAAACTATTAAGCGCTATAAATATTCATCCCTTGGAAATGGATATATATTTGCAACGTTTGGAGTTGAGACTCTGGGCCCATGGGGTCCCGAGGCCATGAGTCTTTATAAAGTGATACCTCGCCGGCTAGTAGGAACCTCTGGCGACCAGAAGCCTTCTGGTTAACGCATCTCCATAGCCATTCAGCGTGGAAATGCAGCAAATCTCCTAGGTACCCTACCAGTTGGTAGTGACCTCGAAGAATTTATCTTTAATTATTGTTTTAGTTCTTATTATCTAATATTAAATTGATTTTTTTTATTATAAAATAATAAATACATAATTAGTAAATGTATCTGAATTAAATATATGTGAACACAATGATGACAATCTTAATCAAACTATAGTGAAGAGGTAATATAATTTGACTCTCTTCTTTTTAAAGATCCAATTGCCCATGATGAAGTTAATTTCGTAATTAACTATGTTCAAGGCCTCTAATGTTTTTAAAATATTACCACAGCAATGGGAAATTAATTATTAAATTATAAAATGGTGAAAAATGTCAAATCGGTCAATTTCTGACATCGTGTTTAATTTAATGGATTTCCGTCCATATAGATAGAATACTTGAAACTATTGACTACTTATTATGTAATATTACAGGGTAGATTAGTATTTTATTAATTTTATGGAACTAAATATTTGAATGTTCCTTTGTAGAAGTAATATAGTCGTCATCATCATAACAGCCGTAAACAATCCACTGCTGAACAAAGACCTTCCGCATAAGAGAAGATTTGCTTGCAGTTGCACGTTTGGCAGGCGGATTGGCAACCGCAATTAGGTTTTAATGATATTTTTTAAGAAGGGGCATTGCTGTCTATCGCTCGACTATTAAGTTCTTTTAGTCGCCTCGCCTAGAGGTGGCCTATTCTACGCTGGGACCACACACACAGCGGTATAGTGTTCTAGAATAATAATACTATTATCGTTGTTGAATAATAACTATCGTGAGTCATACTGAATTGTTATCTATAGCTTTCATACATCCTCCGATTCTGTATATATGTATAAGAGAACTACCAGTTAGTTTATGTATACTACTGTTCTGTTACTTATACTGACAATATGTTAGACTGAGCGAATAATTGATTAGAGAAGGTCTCTCTTCTCTCTCTCTCTCTTTGTTAGATACTTGTATTTTGCTTTATTCCTTTGGTCGCTCCTCATTATATCTTGGATATATTTCGGTTTAGGTTTCACCATATATTTATTTGTTCATTCTGCCATTTGTCTCACACTTGGGCTATTGTGCATAGAGTATGATCAATCTAGCCAGTCTAGAGTTGTTCAGAAGTTAACAGTTATTACCACAGTCCCTTGGGATGGACTACAATGCGTTTAGATTCTGAACCTCCTGGTTAACCAAGTTTTTACACTTCATGCGAGAGTTTTGATGCAGCAAATGAGCTTGTGTTTCTTTAGCCTTCATACAACATTCGACTCTAGATATGCGTAGATGTGGACTGCCAGTTTCTATACCTATTAATAACACACACATTTCACACATACGGTTCAATATATTTGTATAAATGTAAGTACAAAGATGGATCAGAATGTTTTCTTTAATTCACGTTAACAAAGCCGCGGGTTGGAACTAGTTTTATGAACTTTACTTTTTGCAGAGTTGTTTAATGTTTGCTAACACTACGTAACCATTCAATAACGTTTAAACAGATTAATAAAAACTTCCTTAGATTAACGTATAGAAAAGATTAATTTCTGTAGCATAAATGCCATATAGCCCTGGCATTCAATGGATCGCCCCTTTCTTTGTCAAGGGGCGACTAAGGGAACTTTATGGTCGAGGAATAGGCAGCAGCATCCCGCTTAAAACATTACCAAAAACCTAACTGTGATTGCGAACTCGTCTGCAAAGCGTGGCAACTACGGACAACACCCTCCTTATGGGAAGGTCTATGTTCAGCAGCAGACAGTTAACGGTTCATACGAAATGCATTGTTACTGAATCTGTTTTATTTATGTAACTGAATTGATAGAATTTTGCATACTTATGTATTGTAAATATATTATTATTAGAGTTGTTTGCAACATGTGTTTACTTTGAATATTTATTACTTCGTCATGTAACCATTCAAAAACTTAGGTACAGGAAATTGCAATCTCCATCGATAATAAATAATGCTCTCTCAGGTGGACATCGACGCGGTTTGGGGAGGAGGGATTGTTAGTAATAAGGATTAGCGGCCCCACTGCTAGCTATACCCCCTGTCAGATCTACTTCCGCGTAGTTCTCCTGGGAAACCATTGTGATTTATTCTGACTGACTATGACATACTGATCTCTTGTCATCCTCACCGTTTAGAGAACGCATGTGGAGTTACTAAAATTTAAATAGTCATTTCAATACCTTTCCATGGTCATTTTGGTAAGAAATAAAAAAATATATAAAATTAATTTTTATTATTAAATGTCTTAAAAACTAAGATGAGGTGTGAAGATAAAAATCTGTAAATAAATTTATTCAACAAATAAAGAAACAAATTAAGTCTGATATTATATTTTTTACATAAAAAATGTATTTTAATAATGCTGATATACTAGTATCTCCATGAGAGATTTATTACATACATACCATATATGGTCATATTTAACAAATTATAAAGTTATTAATAACAATAATGTAATTGTTATTTTAGATTTAGCATAGTTGATATTTATGACCCTATTATGTTTGGTACTGTAATATGTTCTTTAACGAAGTTATTTTTAGAAGAATACTATATTTTTAGAAACATCGAGTATTCACAAAATAAACTGTACAAATGACACTTTTTTTATCTAAATATGTAATAAAAGTTGAACAAGACTATTGTGATTTGTAAATTTAAGAATAAATAATAATAAAGATATTTATTAATACTGGTGGTTGTTGGCATTTCTAGGAACTTTGAATTTGTGTTCAAATTATTATTCTTACTTTAATTGACTGTGAAAAACTACACGACGTGTGTCGTCTTTGTATTCCAGTATAATTTAAAAATGCATTTGTTAATAAATATTGTTTTCTTTTAATGGTTTTAATTTATTACCTTACTCTATAAAATTTTTACCTAATCGTATGTATGCGTAGCCAATTATATAATTTTATGAATTATAGATAACACAGGTAGTGAGTTTCTTTTTGACCGGCACCATAAATTTAGTGTGTTGATTAAAATTCTCAACTAATTCTATTGTGATGGAAAACATCGATAACAAATTAATTCGTGACAGCGGCAAATGCAAAACGAAAGATTGGCATATCGAATGTTACGTTTACCACTGTGGCTACACACACCTCTGGGAAGGACTACAATGAGTTTAGGTTCTGAGCCTCCTAGTTAACCAAGTTTTCGCAGTTCACGCGAGAGTTTAGATGCAGCAAATGAGCTTGTGTTTCATCAGCTTTCATAGATCCTTCGACTCCATATATGCGTAGATGTGGACTGCCAGTTACTATACCCATTAACACACATGTTTCATACTTACGGTTCAACAGATTTGTATAAATGTAAGTACAAAGATGAATCGGAACGTTTCCTTTAATTCACGTTAACAAAGCCGCAGGTTGCAACTGATTTTATGAACGTATAGAGAACGCAGGCGAAGTTACTATTCTGTTATCATCTTATAAAAAGACCTCCACGCGGTTTCCGCTGGAAACCTTCGTGATTAAATTTTTGTTGAATTTAACACGCTGGTCCAAATGTCAGTTTCCATCCCATCATTATCCATTAAAAACTTGATAGATGATAAGATATACGCAGTGTAAGTATGAAAGGCAAATAATTTTTTGTCGTTTCTTTAGGAAAAATGTTCAGTTTTTTTTTATTTACTCATTAAGGCAAAGCAATAGTGTATTAATTGTTACAGTTTTACAAGTGGAACATATTTTTTATAAATGCTAAATAATTCTCCTACTTTCAAATCGTTGCTATTAAAGTCACCTGTATATAAAACTAAATCAATTAGTAATAAGTACACTACTTACCCCAATAACCTATCCATATTAGAGGAAGGGATGGTAGTAATATGAACTATCAGTCCCATTGCTCTCCCATGGAAACCATCGTGTTGAATCCCAAATGTATTCATCATTCGAGGAGCTAATTGACCTGCCTTTTCATTCTCACCTGTCTTGTTTGTCACCTGTCCTGCCTTGTCATCCCTCACTGGAGCTCCGCTAGTGTATACCGTTAGCGCGAGCTGGGATGACATTCCATTATCATCCATTAAAAAAAATCTATCCATATTAATCATATCCTATGTGTACATTTATATAGATAAATATTCATTCACTCGTGTAATGTCACGTATGTTAATCGCTCCAATATTTGATTTCGCTCTGCCAACTCCCATCGTATCCAACTGTTACCATTGTCTCTATTTTCATTACTACATTCATTATTGATTCTATTTCCCATATTTCGAGATGACTCGCCGCCCGTATCCAATAGCGAAGACGGATCATTTACGCAACCCAGAACTACCAAAAAAAAAATACTAGTCAGTTTATTTGTTACACTACGGAGTGAAATGAATATTAATATAGAAATTAAGTATACTGTGACGCAAGTGAAATCAAGGTAGATCAGATAATGATATATCCACTTAATAAACAATTATGACAGTGTAATTTTAAACAATAATAAATAAACGTTTATAATGACTGCATTTGTTACAATGTCTCTTTACTGTACTTTGACATCCAATTAAATATCTACAACTTCACGTGTCGTGTTTCCGTGTAATCTAGTATAATACAATACCTAGTTACTTTTTAATGGGTGAAGATGAAACGTTAACCCCGTCTGCGCTATCGGTATTCACTGACGGGGCACCAGTAAAGAATAATAGATGAAAATCAAAGGAGTTCAGCTGGCCCATCGTGACGAATTTTTAGGATATATAAAATATATATATGTAATGGGACTGTACCCTACCCCATTACTGACAATCCCTTTCATCCCGTATCCCGTATAGGTATTAGATACCTACATTCATTGTCAATTCAAAATAAATAAAGAAGAAAATAATATAATTTTTATTACTACAGTAAAGTATACAATGTATTGGCTTAAATGTATAAATGTAAGTACCTACCATCTATACTATACTATAAAAATCTATTCATTTTCCTTAATACATATGTTATATAAATAAATATACAGATATTAACAATCTTTACCTGAGAGTTTTACAAAAAACATCCTACTTGAATTTTGACAAAAGTATAGGATTGTTCCAAAAGGTTGTAAATAAAAAAAAAAAATAACAAATCGTACAATTCGGTCAAGAAATAACAGAATAATCAGTTTGACTCGTTTTTTAGGACTCGATGCTCCATCTATATAATCTAGGTTGACTCTTAATAAGACCAATAGATGCTGAAATAATAAGGTTTGGAAATTTTGACTGACTGTCTATGTTTGTCTGTTTGTTCCGGTACCGCGCAAAAATTACTACATGTAATTGAATATAATTTTCACAGTTGTCTATCTTAAAAACTGGTGTATGTTTTATCTTGATGCGCCATCTAGAGTCGATTATTTAGTTTTCCTACTTCTGAAAACAACGCGAATAAAATGCGCGGGCAAGAAGCTATTTATTAATATAAGTACTTAAGACATGTATCACCTTATTTGTAAACTCTTGGTTTACTTATTATGTATTTTTATTAAAAGCTAGATTACCTTTTTGAGTAAAAGAATGATACTGGCAGGTTTTAATTATAAAATCATGGGCTTAGAACGTATCATACAGTGATAGGGTTCCGTAATTGTGTTTTTAATATTCTACTTGGTTGTACATACATAATATATTGTTGCTGTTGTATCAGATGTTACCTGTCCACTACTGAACATAACCCCCCCCCCCCATAAGGGAGGTTTTGCCAGCAGTTGCTACGCTTGGTAGGTGGGCTGACAACTGCAGTTTGGCTTTCCGTGATGTTTTAAGAGAGGCGCTGCTGCCTCACTCCCTTTACCATAAGCTCCCTTGCATAATACATAATGGCATAAACAATACATGGTAATTAAATTCAGCCATTAAAATGGCTCTGTAATAAATAAAATCTTTGGTGCAAAATGAATTTTTTTAATAAATATCGTTTATTTTCAAAAGGAGTATTATAAACTATAAATAGTATTAAGCTAAATAATGAAAACAGTTTAAAATTAATAACTACAGCAATCAAAAGAAAAAAAAGATTTTTTAAAAAAGTTCTATGTTTTCTGAAACATTTATTTCGAAAATCAGTATCTTTCATGAAAATCGAGCTGTTAACTGTAACATAACTAAACTATAACACTATAACAAAACTATTCTGTTCTAAGGGTGAGATGAATAATCATAAAAATTGTACAAAATGTTTCCTACGGAACTCTAATAACCATATTGGGTATCACACTTTAAGGTTACGAATATGACATTGATTTTGAACTTTAAACATAGGTAGTAAGTATAGGTATAATAAATAGCAAGTATAAAGCACCTATGTAATATAAAACACAGAATAAGGTTACCAGATAATTGTATTAACCTTTTTTAAATGTTTCAACATTGAAATGATGTTCGTGAACTTTTTCGAATCTTATTAATATTACTTTATTAGCTTTTACCGCGGCGTCGTCCACATAAATGGGATTTTTTTTAATGGATAATAATGGAATGGTAACCCCGCCTGCGCTACCGGTGTACACTGGCGAGGCACCAATGAGGGATGATAGGTGAAGATGAAGCAGGTCAGTTAGCCCACCGTGACGAATCTAACAATAAATCAATTAAGATGGTTTCCAGGGGAAACCACGCGGAGGTCAACCTGACAGGGTATATTGCTAGCAATGGGGCTACTAATCCCCATTACTAACAATCCCTTCTCTCCCCCCACATAAATGGGATATGTTTACTAACCGGGATGAAAAGAAGCCTATATCCTTCTCCATTCCTTGTTGGACGTATGCCAAATTTCATAGTGATTGGTTAAGCCGTTAAATTGTTATAAAGTGAGATACAAACAAACAAACTCACATTCGCGGTTATAATATTAGTAAAGATTAATATTTTCAAATTACTTCATTAATTATAAAGCAAGTTTTTTTCTTATGTTTACTTCATTTTTATATGTCTTATTCGTCATGGAGAAGGATATACCATACACTATTATTTTTATCTCATTTAATTGATATGTAAGGTAATAATAGTACAGAAATGAAGTAAAAAAAATTTTGAAAATTCATTTAATAACTATCATATCCTACTAATATTATAAAATAGCTGTTATCAGCAATTTTGTTTGCGTGAATCAATATATAAAATATTCTGCGTGTTAAGTATATAATATAGTTTACTCGTGTACCAAATTTCATTTAAATCCGTCCAGCCATTACAACGTGACAGAATAACATTAGTCTTAGCTAATTTTTACATTCATAATATTAAGTGGATGTGAAAGTTTGTGGAGTTGTTTGAATGTTTGAAGATTTGTATGTTTTTTACTCAATCATATTTAAATGGACGAATAAATTTGAATTAAATTTGGTGCAAAGTTAGGTTATATTCTAATTTAGCACATAGAATATTTTATATACTAATTTACAGCGTACAGAGGAATAACACCTGAGTCCTCAGGAATGGCAATGCATGGGGGTTATCATGGGCGAAACAGTATACTCTGTTATGTCCATGGTACTGCTCATGTCTATAGGCGACGGTTACCACTTTCCATCAGATGGGCCGTCAGCTTGTTTGTTAATCGTATAAAAAAAATGCAGAAAAAGTCGTAGAAAATAGCTCGTACAATATAAGAACGACCAAGCCTTTTTTATCAAAATTACATTGAAAAACACACTACCGCCCTACCATATGGAAAGTGGTAGCCGTCGCCTTTAGACATGAACAGCATCATGGACGTCACAGAATATACTGTGACGACCTTGGTTCACGCCATTAAATGAACGAAATCAAACCTAACGAAATATCGGTCTTATTTTATTCAAATGACCACTGTCGCAAGATTCGAACAAAATTTAATAGGCAACGTAGATATAAGGTTATGCACCTACTTAGTGGTCGGTCAATGTCACCATTATGACAACACACGTGGTACCTACATTGAATTAGAATTATTTAGTCGATGTCAGCCTAACTAGCAAAATAACACTTATTAAGGATTGCTTATTCAGCTTGAGGTTACATAGATGTATAAAGCTAAATTGCACCCAATCGTGATTCAATATGATTTACAATTGAATTAATACGCATACTATATTTAATTTAGTATTTAATATATAAATAGTTAATTTCTTTAGGATTCCGCCAGGAGCACAGAGACTATGTTAATATAAAATCATTAATAATAATATCGCGGATTTGTTGTCCCTGATGGGAATATTTCGTTTAAATGTCCTACATTGAGTGCATGCTTCAAATTCGTTTTTTCAATTTTATCTTGTAAAATTAATTATTTTAAAAATCATTTCTTGATGGAAAGTGGTATCCTGTAATACGGACATATAACAATCATTATTGCCATATTATTCCTCTGTACCCAGTAAATTCTTTAATTGTAAAACACGAATCTTAGTACTTATCATAACAATCATTATTGCCATATTAACTTCTTTAATTGTAATCTTAGTACTTATCATACAAGTACCAAGATATCTGTAAAAAAGGTTAATTCATTTCATTACAACTTGATTAATTTAGTGTGCTTGCTGTAATTTTCAATAGTATCGTTTCTTTTTGTGAGTTTCCTTTACTTGTATTAAGTATTTATTGGCTGATAAATTATTTATTTGCTAATCTGCATCCTGCGACTTCGCCCGCATTAATCAGTACATAAAGTACCGTATGTGCAAGTTAGGATATAACCTATCCGTGTAAACAAACAAACTTTCATTCATACATTTTTATAAACTTTTAAATTTATCATATTATTAATTAATAGGATAATACAAATATAAAATAATCTATAAAAATATGACTATCCAACTCATATTTTGACATATGTATATTAATTACTTTTTTTTCTATAAGCTCATTTATGATACCAGCTGCTTGTATTAAATAATAAAAATAATAATTTATTATAAAACCTATATAATATAATATTTTTTATGACACATATAATTATAATTATTATTACATTTTGCAGTAAGATTGTATTTATTTTTTGCTATCTTTAATTTTTTAGAACGCTATATCCGAATATGAACGATGGTAATGTTCAGAATCGGATATAGTGTTCCTACCAAAACAAACACAATGTACTTCATCCGAGCAATCGGAGTAAATTCGCAAGTAACAGGTAGGTACGTAAAGCAAGCTCTGTAGTTGTGATACGCAGTGATTTAGTTGATGTGGTGATACCATTCCGCTTGGTAGACGAAAAGTGAGCGACTCCACGAAATTTGATGCGCGCATTCGCGTTTCGAAAATAGTTGAGTAATAAAAAAAATATTCGTTCAGATTCATTACATTGCAGTGAAGAATTCCGCAAGGTATGTAGAAATTGCTTTTGTGTTATTAGTTTTAATTATTCGAAATAGTATTACATTTTAATGCACAATAAGTGTTAGTATTTATCTCTAGTAATTTTATTATTTTCATAATATTTTTTTCTGTTTCTCAATTTTTTTTTCTTTTAATTTTGTTATATAAATAAATAAATCACGTAAAGCTTTAAGAACTATCTATCATATATCTTTTAGAATTATCTATCACACAATATTTTTATTATCGAAATATATTGATACAAGGACCATCATTTAAATTTGTTTTTGAACATTGAGAAAAAATAAAATATAATGTATTGTAATTATTTACGCCAGCGTTATTCACAATATGAATTATTATAATTACAATACAGTATGATTCATGATAACTATTATTAAAAAATAAAACGTGATTACCAATAAGTATAATAATATGAGTAAATTAAGTAAATTATAGGTATAGATACTTTGTTGGTTCTATCAACAATCCTTGCAATATACCTAACTCTCTTGTTACAGATAATTAAAGGTTATCGTTTAATCATATTTGTAGTAAGCTAGAAGTTAATTGTAACTGTATATTTACTAACTTTAACTCGATTAAAATAAATAAAATAAAGCTACCTTAATTGCCCATCAGTGTAGCTAAATATCAAATTTTATTCAAATTCCTTCATTAGTTTAAACCCAGTTTAGTAGATAATTAAAATCCAAGAATCATAAACTTTCACATGTAAGTACTTATAGTAGTATTACAGGTTATTTATTTTATTTTGTTTTATAATGCAATTACGAATAAATAAAATCTGTAAAAGTAGATATATGTATATAATGTTTCAAGCATAATTGTAACTTAGGTATTTATATTTATAGATTTTTCATTAATTTAAAATTCAACCTATATATTTATACCAGGTACGTATTTATTTAGCAATAAAATTATACTTTTTTTTTAGATGCCGCAAGAAGTAAATGATCAAGATATAGTGTCTATCAAAGAATGGATAGCGAAAGAAAATTACCTGCCCCGAGACCTTGGTGAGTGGAAATTCTTGCACGTTAATGCTGGTATGGTGTAACCATGGCATTGAAGTCAAAAACTCAGCAATCTGATATTACTTGTATCAATGAATTTAAAATATATTTTTTTTAATCAGATTATTAATATATGCAAATCTGTTTTTTAAAGATACACATTTGCATTTTATCTTACGCCTTAATATAATAAAATAAAATTACGACTAAACCATAGTCGTACATAGAAGATATTTAAGAAAAAATATATGAAGTGTCTTAATAAATAACAGCAACAGAAGTCGTATTTTACGACTGTGAAGAGCAAATTAAATGTTTTTCACAGTAGTATTTCTGAAGTTCTAACTTAAAATGTGGTGTAGGTTTTATCTTGATACACCATCTAGGTGTAGTTACCTACGTTTTATAATAAATAAATAAATAAAATATGCTAAAATCTATCTTAACCCTACACAAAAGATGTTTTAAAGCTATCATAAAAAAATCTGTGTAAAAATACTTCACCAAAGTAAATTCAATATAAACTAAATTTCTATAATACAATATAAACTACTCTAATTTGCTGGCATTATTTGTTTATCAAAATGTTGATATTTTATTTTCAATATTTTGATATTATAGTGAGTGGATATACTGATTATCATATTCGATTTGGTATCGAAATTTTCCCCACAATCGCGTATCTTCAAATCATGCTCACTATAATGTTCCGCGGGTGTACCATGAAATGAAATTCCGAAATTTCGGACTCGATTTCGTGTTTTTGTTTATACCAAAATCGGATGAATAAATGAAGTTTAACATTTCGTTCGTCATACATCCTATCATAAAAGCCCAAAGGAACAATATTTTAACATTTTTAATATTTCCAAACAGCATGTATTATGTAATTTTAACATCAAATTTCTATTTCGTTTGGCTCTGAAATTTCGGAAAACATTTCATGGTAGGCCCTCAGCAGACTGCTGGCGGCATCGTGGACCAGCATCATTGTTGGGCTCCCTATAATATGGACTCCCTATATATTCATCCTCACCTATCATCCCTCCCTGGTACTCCGCCAGCATATACCGTTACTGTAGACAGGGTTACCATTCTATTATCATCCATTAAAAAAAATGGAGTATATATATAATATATTTTTGAGTATTAACAGAGTAGGCTATAAATAAAAAACTGCTCCTTCTATTGGTGTGTACTTTTCACAATGGACTGCAAAAATATTACAAAACATATTTAATGAATCTAATCATAATGTATGTAAACTTTTCCAAATGTTGTACTAAATAAGAAGCACTTTTTGTAAGGTATTACAGTACTAATTATACCAATATTCGGTTGTAATAGAGACAGTGAAAGTGACAGATAACAGCCTCTAAAGACCATGTTTGCATAAATATACATAATCATTTTGTGTATTAACATTCTAATTATTTATAACCCATCATTGTACAAAATAATACTTGCGTATCGTGTTTTTTTTTTTAAATAGATGATAATGAAATGATTACCTCGCCTGCGCTAACGGTATACACTGGCAGGGCCTGTGAGAGAGGATAGGCGAGAATGAAAAGGCAGGTCAGTTAGCCTCTCGTAATGAATTCACTTGGAATAGAACACGATAATTTCCAGGGGGAACCGCGAGGAAGTCGACCTGATTGGGTGTATTGCTAGCAATGGGGCTACTAATCCCCATTATTAACAATAGTTTCTTCCCGCTGCGTATCGTATTACATCACATCAAAATTATATCATTAGTTTTTTACTACTATACTCCAACTATATACTTGTACGATAACGCAGGCGGGGTTACCATTTAATTTTCGCCTATTAAAAAAGCCCATAGTACAAACTTATTTTGGGACAAAATAACGCTGCTATCCAGGATTAATATTTATTATTATTACTATTTTATCACAACGAACAAACAGTCGTTATTTAAATATTTACCAGATAGAGACCTTGTCGTTTGCTTGGGTACCTTTGTCCTTTTGGTGTTTATACTGTGAAGCAGTTGTGTTTGAATGGCTGTGTTACAGTTTGAAGGGTGGGATATGGCCGTAAATTTACAGGTTACAGAGGCATAATACCTTAATCTTCAGATATGTTTATGCATGGGGGGTATCATAAGCTAAACCGTATACTCTATTATGTCCATGGTACTATTTTTATCGCAAATAATGTGTGTTTCTAGTTTTATGGCGATTAACTAATCATTATGAAACTTATAAACGCATACTCCCTCAACCGAGCCATGAAGGTGTTAAGAAGTATCAAGCATATACAAAAAAAAACACACACACATTTAAAGTAATTAGTATTTAAATAAAGACTATTAATTCACTTAGTTGACACTTATTTTAAATATATGAAATTATGAATTTTATATATGTAAACAGCTAATAAATACGTAAATTTAATTAACAATAAATATATTACGATGACTCTGTTGGCCCAACAATCTCTTATAGTTTCTGTCAACACAAGGGTCGCGTCATGATGCGTAGGCCATGGATTCTATTAAGTGACATGAATACTAATTTGATGTAAATGTCTCTTTCTAAACCTCGAACGGACAGTAAGGATTTTTATTTTATACAACTTAGAATGGCAAACAAGCTGACGACCCACATGATGGAAAGTGGTAACCGTCGTCTATAGACATGAGCAGTACCATGGGCATAACAGAGTATACTGTTTCGCCCATGATACCCCTCATGCGTTGCCATTCCTGAGGACTCAGGTGTTATTCCTCTGTACCCTGTAAATTCACGCCATATCCCACCCTTCAAACCGAAACACAGCCATGCAAACACAAATGGAGTTTGAAACACGAATGGGACATAGGTACCCAAGCAAAAGACTTTTGTACAAAGTCTCCCTTTGATAATATGGGTAGGTACATTTGTTTATTGATTTCCAAAAGAAGTAGCTTGAGAAAAAAAATTAAATTCGGTCGTACTGAGACGGCAATTTTTTTTTTATTGTGACCATAGTTACATGAATATCTCGCCAAATCTGAGCCTATTTGCAATCTAGAAAGATTGTTCGTCGCAAACCAATGCGAGAGGTTCAGGATATCTTTATTTACATTGATTCAATTTCACAGTTCGAATTAAAATAATTATTTACGAACGAAGAAAAATAAATCTTATATTTATTTTACATTTAATACATTATCAGTTGCAAATCAATGCAGAAGATACAAGCAAGCAAAAAATTCTCATCATCAAACAATAGTGACATTACTAATAATCTGTTTCCCTTGTATGGTAATATGGAAATCTTAAATTTAAATTACGAATAAATTACACATAATTAACAAACATATTAAGTAGATATTCAAAGTGAAGCTACTCGTATAATAGCAAACAAACAGACTATTTGACTAATCAAAAATCATACGTAAAGTGCAGGCTACGAGTACACTGTGAGCTAAGCTAAGCGCAATAAACTTTGTTTAATTTATCGTTATTTGCAGGTAGGGGGGGAGGGAGTAAGAGAGATACCTCACTCTTAAGACGAGCGTCGACTCGTCCCATAATTATTCATCCTTACCCCCCCCCCCCCTATTATAACTAAAGCCTTCTTAAACAAATCTATTGTAACTATTACATTGTTTTGTCACTTTTTCAAATTGGGAATTTAGTGCAAAAGAGACAAAACAGTTCAATAACTAAGATAGATTTATAAGAGGTTTGACAGTTTTTTAATAAGGGGATTAATTTTTAATGTGCACTCAAATAAATAACTTTGCACTGCTTTACTTAACTAGCATAATTGTGAAGGTCCAAGGAGCCAGAAATAAAATTCCTTTTATACACAAGAGATTCAACTTTTATATAATTGCAAAATTAAATCTTAGAAAAAATTCGTAGGAGCACACACACTCGTTGATTTGTCGTCCATCTTCATCTTACACTCCCCAACCGTTCCTCACTTCACTCCACATCAGTCATCCTTCCTCGTATTTCAATCTATGCATACAACATTCACTTTTAACATACATTCCGTTTCATACCAATCCCACAATTGGATTATTAAATATATGAGAGCTAAGCTATGAAAACCTAATTTCATTAAGGTAATTAATTTAGCATAGTTGGATTATTGGATGTACACTACACTAAGTGAGTAACTAACTAAATAACCTTAACGAAGTTACCTTTGTATTACTTTTCATAGATTAACTCTCAGTTACTGTGCTTAATTGTTATTTCATCTCAAAATATACGTATTTCTTAGGACACCTTTATTATTTATCATCGCTCGACGCAGCACGTAACCAGTTTATTGTCACGGTATACATGTGTACAAATCCATCGTTCAATACAATGTTTCATAGTTCAATAGTTCATATATATCATATAGTTCAATGAAAAATAAAAAGCGTATTTATATAATGGCTTCTTAATTACTAATAACAAGCTGAATATACCTACTTGAAATAAGATAATATTGTAATAATGCAAGAAATTAAAGGCTTTATTATATGTATATATTCTATCATATCAATATGCAAAATAATTTATTTTATTAATAGCACAGGGTTGCCGCAATAAAACTGTATTTCATTCGCTAAATTATTCATTTGTACATTCTTAGGTATGTCATTAATCCTGGCTATTCTATTTAACTTTGACTTTCCGAACACTGCACATTAAAATAGGTTAGTCGGTTATCGGTTAAATTACCAGTTAGTGTAACTGTGAACTGTCAAAATTATTATAGATTTGATGCACTCGGCTGTTAGTATATCATTATACGTTATTATTATACGTTAGTACGAATATATTTAATAATTATAAAAAGCTTTTAATTACCAAGTACGCATGCAAATGCCCAAAACTCTAATACCGATTCAGTAATTTTATAAAGAACAGCTTAACTGCTGAACCTTTTTTTTGTGTTACAATTGGACGTTAACATATATTATTAAATTTTCAACTAAATATATTTTACATGAACCAAATTAATGTAAATAATGGTAGACTCGCCATATC